GCTGGGTGCCAGGGCAGGGCAGAAAGGGGAGCCAGGACGGAGCAGGTGTGGGACCTAGGGACACAACTGGCCAAAGAGCTGTTTGCAAGGGCAGCTCCCTCTCGCTGGCACATGCCCAGGGTGTCGTCGTCCCCCCCCCCCCCCCCCCCCCCCCCCGCTTTGCTTCACAATCCCTCCTTTTTGTTAGGTGAAGCTTAACTGGTGTGGCCTGCTGGCTAGGCCAACTACAGGCAGAAAAGAGGAAGCATTGGACGGCAGTGGTTTCAACCAATGTCTTATTAAGGAAGTTGAGTCATTTACTTCTGCAGTTTATCCCTCTGGGCATTCACAGAAGGACACGCTCCTATTTCCAGATGAAATTGAGAGAGATTTGCTCAGGCCCTTCAGTGGACGTTTGTGAGATGACCTCCAAGGTTTTGATTTCCCTTTTGTGGAGGACGAAGCGAACATGGAATTCCTTAGGTGAGGCTGTGGACACCGTGTTTATGTGAAGCAGAAACACAGAAGTGTCAGTGACTCAGGGTCTCAGCCTAGTAAAAGGCAAAGGGACAGACATGCACTTGGCATCTTCTGTTGGCCAGACCAACTGTGGAGTTTGTGATCTCTACCTCTGTCTACTCAGAGGATCCTGAAAGTCAGGACTCTGGCTTCCGAGGGAAGCCAGAGAAACCGTTCAAGGTCAGTGCACAGGCTCCAGAGGCAGGGGCCAAGTCCAGCACACCTCTAGCTGTGTAACCTTTCAGGCATGCTGGGAACTTCTCACATCCACAACTGAAAGGAAGGTTAAATAATGCTAGGTGCTTAGTAAATATTAGCCACTATTATTCTGAATTGAAGTCTCCAGCCCACAATTAATCCTGACCAGGTCTGTTCTGGGAACTAGGAGGAACCTCAGAGGCTATTGGTTCCAAGTCTTTTCTTAGCGACCTGGGGTTCTCCAGAGGTCCTCGGTTGTGAGGAGGAAGGCTGAGTGGGTGGGCCTCTTGCCCACCTCCTTCAGCCAGGGCAGCTGTTTGCGATATGAGTTCTATGAGGTTGCAGGCTTCTAGCTTTCATATGGTGGTGAGTATGATTTCATTTGACAAAAATGGCCCTACTGCTTTTTTTCTTCTTTTTTAATCTAGAGGCCATAGCTTCTGTTTCCCAGCCTGGCGTTCTCAGGGTAAGTGTACTCACTAAAAGAGGGAAGTGAAATATGATACATTTTAGAGAGGCTATTTTCTCTAAAGGCCAACATTTAAAATATTACTGTTGTACCTTTTCATGAATCAAAGACTCATTTAGCCTCACTCTTATTTCTGTCCCAGAATCCTGGAAACTGAAGTGTTTTCCTCCTGAGCTCTCCAGTTGGTAACCTGTGTACCCGAGGAATGTATTTACATCTTATTTCGTTGTAATTAAATGTAAACAAACACATGTTCCCAGTGGGTACTGTTAGTATAAAGAGGGGGGCAAATGGCAGACCTGGTACCAGAAGGCTTGTCAGGAGTAGAGAGTCGAGGAGGCTAGAAAGATGGCTCACTGGTTAGAGCATAGACTGCTCTTCTGGAGAATGGAGGTTTGATGGCGGCTCAACCATCCGTAACTCCAGTTCCAGGGAATCGATGTCTCGTCAGGCCTCCACAGGCACCAGATAACACAAGTGATGCATACACGCACACGGAGGCAAGACATTCATACATATAAAATAAAAAGCACAGACGCTAGGTCGGGAGAGGTGGCCCAGCAGTTGAGGGCGTAGGCTGTCCTTTGAGAGTTCCTGAGTTTGTTCTCAGGTCCCACGTCAGGTGGCGGACAGCCACCTGGGACCCCAGCTCCAGCAGATCTGACTGCCTCTTCAGACCTCGGCGGCTCCCCCAACATGCGTGAAGATAAAATTAATTCCATTCTTTTTAAAGGTTCAGAGTCTAGCCAGACATGGTTGGTGTCTGGTAGCTGCTCAGGAAGCTGAGGCAGGAGGACTGCCAGTTTCAAGACCCTTGATCATCTTAAAATGATCTCTTCCCTTTTATTTATATTTGGTGCGTGTGTGTGTGTGTGTGTGTGTGTGTGTGTGTGTGTGTGTGTGTGTGTATACACGCCATGGTGCACAGGTTGAGGTCACAGGACAACTTGTGGAAGTCGGTTCTCTACTCTGTGGGTCCCAGGGATCAAACTCAAGTTCTCAGGCTTGGCAGCCCCCAAAAATCGTTTCCTTAAAAAGGTCTGGGAGCGTACTGTACGTCAGTGGTAGAGCACTTGTCTGGCGTGTGTGAGGCCCTGATTTCAGACTCCAGCACTAAGAGAAAAGCATATTCTGGGCCCGATGCCCAGTGACTCTTCAGTGTATCTAGGATGAGTGCATTTTAAGAACTCATCTGGCACTGTAACCTTCACAGTTCCAAACTTTCAGGTGGAAAACTCCTGCAGTGGAGAGCTCTTTGTGGGAGGAAGGCAAAGGCAGAATCAGGCATGGAGCCCTGGCCCTGCCTGACTTGGGAGACTGGCGCAACCTCCTGGGCCATGGTATACCCTTGGGCATCAGGGCAAGCGCCATGACCCCTTCCCTGGGAAAATACAAACTGCATCTTGCTCCTGTGGCTCTCAGACATCCTTGAGCCCAAACCAAAAACTGTCCTTACAGATAGAGCCTAGGGTTGATCTGGTAGCACCCCAGTCACTTCTGCCCCTAGATTCCTGCAGCGCCATCGAGGCATGGCAGGAGATCAGATTGGTGTGTGCACCAGGCCTGAAAGAGTGTTGCGTGAACCCTGCCTGTGCTCTGTGTGGGCCCTGGGTGTGGCCCTTTCCTTTGCTGTCATCCTTGGCTTCCACACAATGAAGATAGCAGGCGGCCGCATGCACTGGAGGCTGAGGTGGAGCTGAGGAGGGGGTTGGGTTGAGGGATGAAGTAGAGCCTTGGCCGCACTTACCCCCCCCCCCCCCCACGCACTGCAGGAGAGAAAGAAAGGACAGGTTTCGGGCCTGGGGGGATAGGGTGAGCCAGCACCCAAAGCCTAGGGCTGGGAGGAACACCTCGCTACACTCCTGACATGGATACTGAACTCGGTTTTATGGACCAGACCCACATAGAAGTGGGGGAGGAGAGAGGAAGCAACCCTGACCATATTTGTGGGAGCGCTGCCCTCAGGCCAGCAAACCTGGAGGCTGCCAGTGCGGGCTGAGTCATGGTCATGTGGTACAGGAAAGCTTCTCTGCTGCTGCTGCCTCTAACTGTCTGCCTCTGGGAGGGTGGGGGTCAGCCTGTGTTCCCTGTGCCAGTCTCAGGTCCAGCTGCCATCTGCTGGGTCAGCTTCTCAATGGCCTCCTTGTCATTCTGCCTCTCAGGCTGGGGATGAGTCACCGAGGAGTACACAGGAGGCCACAACCTCAACTTCTCCCCAGGGAGAGCAGCCTGGTGTTGGTCGTGTGTGCGTGGGGGTGGGGGGGTGGCTCCTGGCCTGCTGCCCAGCTAGCCACCTAGAGGAAAGAAAGGTCCTGGGTTGGCTGAGTGCCCCACAGCCTCTGAAAGAGCTCCAGCTCAAGGTGAACTTTCAACACCAGGTAGAGGCACGCTGTCTGAGCGGAGAGTAACTCGGGGCCCGCCATCTTCCTCATTTATTGGTCCAGCTCTTTATCTCTCCTACTCGGGGTCATCCCGTCTGAAGGTCTACAGATGTGCCTTTGGTCCTTTGGTGCCCTTGTCCAGCCAACATGAGTCATCCGGATTTTTGTCTTGCTGTTCTCTCTACTAAGATGCAGCCATGCACAGGGTCCCCCTTTGCTCTTAGGAGCCCTCCACAGAGGACCAGGAATTTCCTTTCATGTCTGCCTGAAGAGCCTAGGGTCCGAAGCCTGCCCAGCTTTGCCACACAGGGGCTGACTGACAGACCAGGGATCCACTTGGGTAGGCTTCAGGTTTTTCACAAGAAAATAAGGAGATTGGAGTAACCCTGAGGTCCATTTAAGCATACATCTACTTCTGTTAGATTTGGGGAGTTTTCTAGTTGATTTTTTTTTTTAAAGATTTATTTATTGTGTATACAGTGTTCTGCCTGCATGCCAGAAGAGGGTGCCAGATCTCATTAAAGAAGGTTGTGAGCCACCATGTAGGTGCTGGGAATTGAACTCAGGACCTCTGGAAGAACAGCCAGTGCTCTTAACCACTGAGCCATCTCTCCAGGCCTCTAGTTGATTTTTAAACTGCATTTTCTCTGGCAAAAAGGCTAAAAAAGGTGGCTTTATTGTAGGTTTTAAGTCAGTTTTTGGAAGGTTGAGGGATTTGGGGATGTATGTAGGAAAATGGCGAAAATTACAATAATAGCTATCTGGAGACTTTTATTGAGAGTCAGAGCTCCCCATAGACTTTCTGTTTGTTTGTTTGTTTGTTTGGCTGGCTGGCTGAGGGTGTGGTTCAGTGGTGGAACACACATCTGACATGCTGGACATCCTGGGCTCAATCCCCAGCAGCACACAAAAACAAAAACATTCCCGTCCTTAAAAAGTATTCCAATACTAGCTGGGCGTAGTGGTGCACACTTTTAAGTCAAGCACTCGGGAGGCAGAGGCAGGCAGATCTCTGTGAGTTCAAGGCTAGCCTGGTCTACAGAGCAAGATCCAGGACAGACAGGGCAACACAGAGAAACCCTGTCTCAAAAAACCTAAAATAGTATAATAATAATAATAAATTAAAATCATTTATTTTTGTATATTGAATGTTTAGCCTTTGTGTATATATGTGCAGTACATGTGTGTTTGTAGGGGGCACACTGGAAGGTTCTCGGCTCTTTATGTCAACTGGACTCATTCTCCAAACATGCTGAGTGGTAATGAAGCCAAGCTCACAACCTTTACAAGCATTTGACTTGTGGGACCCCCCCAATTGCACGAGCATGGGTGTGGGGTTTTTAACTGGAGCATGCGCAGTTTGCACACACACACACGTTTCCCCTCCAACCTGTGCCTAACCTCTCCGTGGGGTCTGGGCTTTGGAGTGATCTGCTCTGTGTTTGGCCCTCAAGGTGAGCACGAGCCTGGGAGATGGCAGTGATGGAAGTGGCCTGCCCAGGCTCTCCTGGCTCAGCGGTTGGGCAACAGAAGGAGCTCGCCAAAGCCAAGGAGAAGACTCAGTCACTAGGGAAGAAGCAGAGCTGCATCTACAAGCTTGAGGCTGTGGAGAAGAGCCCCGTGTTCTGTGGGAAGTGGGAGATCCTGAACGATGTGATTACCAAAGGCACAGCCAAGGAAGGTTCCGAGGGTGGGCCGCCCGCCATCTCCATCATCGCCCAGGCTGAATGTAAGGATCTGGGGCTGCTCTGAGCACAGTGACAAGGGAGTGGGCTTGCAGATGGGTGGCTGGGCGTGAGAGGCCAGCCTTGGAGTCCCCATGGAAGAGCAAGGTCAGAGTGAGCACTCTATAAGATTCTCTCACCAGACCCACCCGTTTGGAGGTCTAACCCAGAATAAATAAATGGGAGCTCTAAGAGTGCTAGGGTGGACCATGGGGGAACTAGCGAATGGAGGCTGTGCCATTGTGACCTGAACAGGGAACAGGCAAGAGGCAGGAATGCTTAAGGACTCCCTCCGCAGAAACATCAAGCTGGCCCTTAACCTTTTGCTGTAACGTTGAACAGTAGCATCTGGAGGGGCCCAGACAGGAAAGGCCAAGTCTCCTAGGAAACCCCTCATGCCTACATACCTTTCACTGCCTTCAACCAGGGATGGCTCCACCCACCCCCACCCTCTGCCCCCAAAATAAGCACCCTGCTCTTGGGCCTGCTGGGCCCGTCTCTGGGCAGCCAGCCTCTGCAGGTGGGGCCAAGTCTGGCCCTTTCCACTTCTATTCCTGTTGCCTTGAGATGATATTGATGGTTGCCTGGGAACAAGAACTCCCAGGAGGGTTGGGAAGCACCAGTTCTCCACGGTCCTCAGCACCACCTTCCAGCCCAGGAGGTATCCTGGGCTAGAACCTGGAGAGCCTGATGGCCTGTGGCGTGGTGGCATTTCTCTCCACGTATCCACCCTCTGCTTCACCTCCCCAAGCCTTCCAGTTGGCTTTTGAGAAGAAATGAGAAAATGAAAATGAAATGAATACCCACATGAACACATACCTGTAAACATAAGGGGGCGACTGTGCCCGGTGGTGTGTGGAATGTTCTAGGAAGCCTCGCTGTAAGTGGGGCGGCAGCAGGTTCCCTATGATCCCCATCTTACAGACAGTCCCCTCTCGACTAGTAAGCTGGGGACAGGGTGACCCCCAGTGAGAGATGAGGTGGTGCCCGGGAGGTGAGCCCCTAGACAGAGAACTTGACAGAGAAGGGAAGAGCAGCCATTAGGGCCTGTCTGTAAAAGGCTCACTCCTAAATGCTCAGCTTGCCTTCGTTTTCTCCCCCTGCTAATCTGGCCCCTTTTCCTTGACTTGAAGGTGAGAATAGCCAAGAGTTCAGCCCCACCTTTTCAGAGCGCATTTTCATCGCAGGGTCCCAGCAGTACAGGTAAGAAAGCAAGCTGCTAGAGCTGGGCAGAAGGGATGAGACACCAGGCCCACCTGCCAGCCGCCTGCCCAGGCCACTCTCACTCACCAGGCCTCTGGCTCCCTGCTTCAGCACCTGGGTTCTGCTCCTGGCAGCCGCCCAGCTTTCCTGGCCCAGCTTCTCTCGGCCAAGTCAGCTTTGCAGAAGCTGCCCCTGGCTCCCATCAACTTGACATTTTATTTTTACTCTCCTCCGAGTCCTTGATACACCCCTGCTTTCCCATCAGCAGGGAGGGTGCCCGGAACAGCAGCTTCCCACTGGTGAATAGCCATGGGCACAGTCCAGAGGGGCCACTTTGACTATCCCATAGGGGAGACACCCCAGGGGTCTTATTCCAGCCCTGGCCCATGGATGGGAGCTAGGCCAGGATCAGTCTGTCCCCTGGCTCCCCCTTCTCCAAAGATGAGATTTGATCAGAGTCTATCCCAGATGTAGGCCCCTCCTCCCACAGGACTTTGGTCATTGGCGTTTGGAAACTGCCAGTGCTGGGAAGGGTCCGGGTGGAGGCTGCTGTCCTCCTTCGGGTTTAGGCGATCCCTTATGTTGCCCCTGGCACCTTTTGGCCCAGAGAATGGGGTTTCTGATGAACTCTCTTCTTTTGGCTGCCTGAAAAGCTTGCAGGCTCCCATCACACCAGGAGCCAATTGTGGGGTAGAAAGAGATGCAGAAGGACTGTGGCTGAGGCTGTGGCCACTACCCCCAGCTGCTTCTCAACGGCCCTTTCAAGCCCTTTCCTGAAACTAGTTCCTTTAATACCTGACCGGGGTGGGAGCCTGGCAGATCCTTGGTGGCTGCACCAGCCAGAAAGGGCGTCCATTTGGCAGCTTCTCGTGTTCCCACAGCAACTTGGTATCTCCAAGGGCTAAGGGTAGAGATGAAGCAAAGCCACTCTGACCTGTCAGAGCTAAGATGCCTGCCCAAGAATGGCCCTCTCGGGTCACTTCACCCGAGGAGCATCAAGAGAGCTGGCCTCGAGAAAGGCCGAGGGTCTGCTCCAGCCCACAGCAGCAAGCTTATGGGGCCGCCTGCTAAGGAGCCAGGCACTAAGACTTACGAGCTGTTCTCATTTAAACCCCATCTCCACCCCATGCGGCAGGAACCCTCTGCTCATTTCATAAGTGAGAAAACTTGGTATTCCTTGGGGCTTAGGAACTTGCCCACACTGTCTAAGCACAGAGCTACCACATGGTGACATTTTGGTCAACAGTGGGCCATGTACACGTTAGTGGTCCCGTAGGCCCATAGCACCTAGTAATAAACAGCTGTCCAAGTTTGTGCTGGTATACTCCGTGATGCTCACACATACTCACCTAACACCGCGTTTCTCACATGCGTCCCCTGTCATTAAGCATGCATGACTGGAATGACAGAGCTGGAGTTTGCACTCAGAGTCTCTCTGACTCCACAGACAGTTCCCTGAACATTCCCTCTCCTCGCTTCCCTGCACTCAAAATGTGGATCTGCCCCTGTTTTGACAGCCAGTCTGAGAGTCTTGATCAAATCCCCAACAATGTGGCCCACGCAACTGAAGGTAAAATGGCCCGTGTGTGCCGGAAGGGAAAGCGTCACAGCAAAGCCCGGAAAAAACGTAAGAAGAGGAGGTCGAAGTCACAGGCCCAGGCAGGCGTGGCCTCAGCCAAGCCCCTGCCCCGAACCCCTGAGCAAGAGAGCTGCACCGTTCCTGTGCAGGTGAGACCCTCCGCCAGTGTCCTGGTCCCTGCATTGTCATGGGTGTTTGGACTGGGACTTGTGACACCTGTATTTTTCCTGCAGGAAGATGAGTCTCCACTTGGCACCCTCTATGCCAGAAATGTCTCCCAGGTCACCAAGCCTCTGAAGGAACCAGACCTCGGCCACCTGTGCTGTAAGAAACAAGGGGACGGCCTGCGACCAGTGCTGCCGCGACCAGAACTCCACAAACTGATCAGCCCCTTGCAATGTCTAAACCACGTGTGGAAACTCCACCACCCCCAGGCCGTAGGCCCCCCACCCCATTCCACTCACCCTTTCCCCTACAGCAGACTGCCCCATCCTTTCCCATTTCACACTCTGGAGCCCTGGAGACCCTACCCGCTGGAATCCCTCCTCCTGGACAAACTAGCTGGTGTAAGTGGCCAGCAGCCCCTCGCTGGCCCACGCCTAAGCAAACTGGCCTATGGAGACAGTCAGAAGCCCCGGCCCGGCCCACACCTGGAGTCCAGCTACCCGTCTCGAGGTGGCCAAGAGAAGGTTCCTGTGGAAGAGTACCTGGTGCATGCGCTACAAGGCAGTGTGAGCTCAGGCCAGGCCAACAGCCTGGCCAGCCTGGCCAAGACGTGGTCATCAGGGGGCTCCAAGCCTCAGAGACTCAGCCCTGAAACTGAGGACAACGAGGGTGTCCTGCTTACCGAGGTAACGAACCCCCTAAACTCCTGTACACAGACCTCCAAGAGCCACCTTCCAGACGAGGGGCCATAGATGGGGGTCCGGGTGGGGCTTGCTGGGGAAGCAAAGTGTCTCTTGAAGCCAGCAGGCCCATGGTAATATATCAGTTTGCTCACTGGGGACTGAATCGGGGGATTCTGTTACCATGACAAAATGCCTAAAACAATCAACTAGAAAGGTTTGTTTGGGCTGATAGTTTAGAGTTTGGGGCCCAGTTATGGCTGAGCATCTGGTGGAGCAGACTTACGACTTCACATCCCAGAAGCAGAGAGATAAAGGGTGTGGATCTAGACATTTGAAGGGCATACCCCAATGGCCTAACTTCCTCCCATTAGGCCACACCTCTTAAAGGCTCCACCCATCCTATAGCCACAGAGCGATCTCGGCTTTACCGCATGCATGCAGTCCTATAACCCTCCACCTACAGCCTCACTTCCCACAGCCTTTCTAGCTGTCTCTTTTCAGTCTCCCAGGTAGTTTCACTGTTGCTGAATTATGTGTGTTGAATGAAAACATCCTGGCAAGCAGAAGGATGCAGCCCGCCCTCTCCCTGCCCACCCCCTTCCTTTAGTTCCCTGCCTGAGTAACTTTGGAACTTGAAGCGTTTTGTTCAACTGGCTGGATTTATTCTATTCACTTTTTAAAAATTTATTTAATATTTTTATTTTATAATTAACTTAATTTCACATATCAGCCACAGATTCCCCCCCCCCCCCCCGTCCTCTCTCCTCCCACCCCTCAACCCTCCCCCCTCCCAATCTACCCCTCATTCCCACCTCCTCCAAGGCAAGGTCCCCCCTGGGGAGTCAGCCCAGCCTGGTAGACTCAGCCGAGGCAGGTCCAGTCCCCTCCTCCCTACACCAAGGCTGAGCAAAGTGTCCCAGCAAAGTCCCCAGGCTCCAAATAGCCAGCCCATGCACCAAGGACAGGTCCTGGCTCCACTGCCTGGGGGCCTCCCAAATAGTTCAAGCTAATCAACTGTCCCACTTATCCAGAGGGCCTGGTCCAGTTCCATTTGACGTTGTCCTTGGCCCCTGCTTCTCCTCTGCCTTGAGTTACTGAGTTATATTGTCCATTATCAAGGTTGTTGGCAGTTCTGCACACACCCAGGCAGCCTCTGAAGGTCACCTTTGCCTTCTTGTTCCTCTCAGCACTTGGGCCTGTCTTCCTTGTAACCCCACCTTAGGACTGATAGTGCCTTTGGATGGGGCCATTCGGCCCCCAGAGCGCTAGTAAGAGCCGCTAGCTGGAGAGGCTTCCTCAGTGTAACCCTCATCCCTCTGCTGTCCCGGCCATTGGAACTGACCCCCTCCCTTTCAACCCTAGAAACTCAAACCAGTGGATTACGAGTACCGAGAAGAGGTCCACTGGGTGGCCCAGCAGCCCCGTGTGGGCAGAGGCTCCTTCGGTGAGGTCCACAGAATGAAGGACAAGCAGACAGGCTTCCAGTGTGCTGTCAAAAAGGTATGCCGTGACACACTGACAGACTCACATCCAAAGCACTTGGGAGGCTGAGGCAAGAGGACAGCCATGGAGTCTAGGCCAGCCTGGACTGAGGTGTGAGACCCTGTCTAAAAAATAAAAATTAAAAATAATAATAATAATAAAAGCCAGGCAGTGGTGGCGCACGCCATTAATCCCAGCACTCAGGAGGCAGAGCCAGGCGGATCTCTGTGAGTTTGAGGCCAGCCTGGGCTACAGAGTGAGATCCAGGACAGACAACAAAACTACACAGAGAAACCCTGTCTCAAAAAAACCAAAGTAAATAAATAAATAAAATTTTAAAGAGGTGCATAGTAGGTAGAACTCCAGAGAGCTGAAAGGGAAGCCTCACAGGGCTGCTGCGTTCACTCTGGGCAGTCTGTCAACAACAGTCATGGGGTATCCAGCACTCTGCCTTGATGGTTGGCACCCTAGCTGCCCTCTGGTCAGCTGGAGTTGGAAGAGGGCGGTTTGTCACATGGCCTGGCCCGATTGCTGCCCTTGGTATGCGTATCTGTGAGAGGCAGCGCAGGAGCACGCAGTTGGGTCTGGATACAGCCCTGGCCGCTGGAGACGCCAGGGCCTGTAGGGGCAAGTCCAGACCTGGAAGATGCTCCAATCACAGGAAATACGTGCTGAACAAAACCATATGCCACATAGGGGGGCCTGGCTCAGGTGATAGAACGGTAACCACCACCTGCCAGGTGTCTTCTGAGAGGAGACGAGACTGGAAGTTAAACCTGCCTCCCATGGCCAAGTCCTGTGAGACTGGCAGACAGCTCGTGGAAACATGGCCCAGCCAGACATTAAGGAGCTGGCTGGTGACCAAATCGGGGTCCAAATCCAAATTTGTCACAGACTGTAGCTTTGAAGAGAGGAAGGGAGAATCCTTGTCCTAAGGTCTCGATGAGCAGCCGAGAGCTCGAGCCACCTCCCCTGTGGCTTGCCCACGGCCACCCAGGCAGTCCTAGAACTTGAGGCTTCCCTGCCTGATGCCCTGTCCCAGCCCAGGGGGCAGTGGGCAGCTGCAGACCCACAGATCTCAGTAGTATCAGCCCTACTCCTCAGCATCTGTCCTCAAACCCTGCCTTGGAAGTCCCCTCTCTATTGGAAGCCTGCTTGTCCCTAACCAAAAGGACTAAGGACCTGAATTTATGTGGATCATTTGGGGGGATTTTGGCTGAGGGGGTTGTGATTTTGTTTTGAGGGGTTTTGTTGTTTTGTGGGGAGCTGCCCACCGGGTGAAATAACTGGCTTATATCAGACACCCTGATCCCCAAAAGGAAAGAGACCAAGAAATCAGACCACCCAAACCCAGCGTCTTGCAGAATGGACCCTGCCACTTCAGTCATGGCTGCCCTTGTCTTTGGGAATGACTCCAGCTGGGATGTGAATAAGCCTGATTTCCTGGGTTCGTACTTGGCCCAGGCTGTGGTAGATGTCGAATTTGAACCTCAGGGTAGTGGGATAAGAGAAGAATCTGTATGTTTTACCTCAGATTTCATACAGACTGTGTGAAGTGAGCAGGTGCCACCATCCTCACCCTCAGGACACACTGAGGTCTTGCCAGCATGGGTCATCTTCCACTTGGATGGCAGGGCCACGTGCCTGACCTCTTTAGCTGCAGCTCCCTCCCCAGTCTACCAGAGAAGGCTCAGCTGTCCCTTCCAAGAGGCAGTGGGAGGTGGGTGAGAGTGTGAATGTCCTAGAGATGGATGCTCAGTGCTGGGAGCTTAGTCACCAGCTTCTCAGCTGTCCCTCTGCTGAGGTCCTCTCAGTCCCAGGCAACAAGGTAAACAACCTTAATACATTTCTCTTGTCCTAGGTCCAGGGCAGTTGGAAAAGCTCCAGGCAGAGGGCCTGGACTTCCCGGGGCTCTGGCTGTGCACATTCAGAGCTCCTGCCTCCTTCCTCCAGCTAGCTCCTTCCTCCAGCTATCCAGCTAGCGGTGGGGCAAACAGCCCATCCCTTGTCTCAGACTCGCAGTTAGTCCTGCACAGTTTTCAGCTCTAAGACCACATGAGGGCTAAGTCCCCTGAGCTGGGAAATACAGGTCATCTTAGGGCACTTGCCTAGCAGGAACGAGGCCCTGGGTTCATGATACTGCATACACAGAAAGTTCCCCGAGTTCTCTGGCAAAGGCATGGAGAGTAGAGACGGGAGACACGGTCTGGGAATCAGAGCTCAGGCGGCCCACACCCTTTTAAAGTGCTCCTCGGAAGGGTCCTAGACATGAGAAGTTACATAGTACCAGCAACCCCATGCTCTTCCTTCTAGAACATCTGTGGGCTTAGGTCATCTGCTTATTGGCCACAGATCTAGCCCTTAATATGAGGTTTTGTTTTGTTTTTCATCTTTTATGGATTTTTTAATTAAGCATTTTTTTTTTTTTTTTTTTTTTTTTTTTTTTTTTTTTTTTTTTTTTGGTTTTTCGAGACAGGGTTTCTCTGTGTAGCTTTGCGCCTTTCCTGGAACTCACTTGGTAGCCCAGGCTGGCCTCGAACTCACAGAGATCCGCCTGGCTCTGCCTCCCGAGTGCTGGGATTAAAGGCGTGCGCCACCACCGCCCGGCTAATTAAGCATTTTATGACATGTGTTTGTGTATGTATGTGGGCACACATGTCATGGGACAGACATGGAGGTCGGAGAGCAGCTTGGGATGGTCAGTTCTCTCCTTCCACCCTGTAGCTGGAACTCGGGGTTGGCAGGAAGCCAGCACCTCTACCTGCAAAGCCATCTCACCAGCCCCTCCATCTTTTGACTGGAAACAAATGCAGCCTCACCATCAGTGACGTCAAATGACACCAGAGTTTCCCTGTTCTCCACTCCTGTTCTCAGAACTGCCGTCTGTGTCTGTCTTTCTAGACTATGGATACATTTGGCTCTTTCTTTTATGAAAATAAGATCCAATCCTAGGGGTTATTCCACTCTGACCCCCCAACCCCACCCCAGTGGAATACATCCTAGGCAGGATTTCTCCTTGGTTCACATAGAACGGTCAGGCTTTTTAAGCAACCAATATGTAAGTTCTCCCTGGCAGAGGATGGATTTATAGGATCCTCAAATTCTTGGAATTTGATCCAGAGTGTGTGTGAGGGCATGGACAGTCTGATGGCAAAGGAACCATATCACTCGGCAGATTCTCAAAGAACACTTGCCATCTGCCCTCAACAAGGGTGAAGAACTGTTTGTTTAAGACATCTGGCCCAACCATAGAATTCTGGGAGCCTCCCTTTGGCTCGGTCTCCGAACTGGAATAGTGTGGCATTGGCCAAGTCAAACCAGCTGTCATGGAGCTCCTGCTCCGAGCCAGACACTGTGCAGAGACTGGGGACAGAGCTGTGGGACCCAAAGGAACTAGTGTTTTGAAGCCTTATTTATATGTATGTAAGTGTCCCACGCATGTGTGTGGAGGTCAGAAGACAACTTCTGCGACTCAGTTCTCTCCTTTCACTTTAAGGCAGAATGTACTGTGTGTGTGTGTGTGTGTGTGTGTGTGTGTGTGTGTGTGTGTGTGTGTGTTGTATGTGGTGTGTGTGTGTATATATGGTGTGTGTATGGTGTATCTGTGGTGTATGTGTGTATGTGGTGTGTATATATGTGTGTGTGTGATGTGTGTGTGTATATGTGGTATGTGAGAGGGGATGTGTGTATGTGTGTGGTGTGTTTATGTATGTGTATGGTGTGTGTGGTGTATCTATGTGGTATGTGTGTGTATATATGTGTGTGTGTGTGTGGTGTGTGTTGTCAGGATTGAACCAGAGCCTCACACTTGCTAGCCAAGTACATTCCAGTGAGCTGTAATCCCAGCCTCTCTAGCTTCCAGCCAGTTCTCCCCTCACACTGAAGGAGTGCTGGGATCCCAGATGTGCAACACCACACTGGCCTTTTATGTGGGTTTCAGAGATCAAATCCAGATCATCATGCGGCTCTGACGGCGTTTTAACCTGCTGAGCCCTCTTCCCAGCCTAAAGCTGGAGTTTTTCACAAACCAGGCTTTTACGTGGTGTACTGTGGAAGCAGCGTCAGCCATGAGCCCTTGTTTTGTTTTGTTTTTTATTTAATTTTTTTTTGGTTTTTCGAGACAGGGTTTCTCTGTGTAGCTTTGCGCCTCTCCTGGAACTCACTTGGTAGACCAGGCTGGCCTCGAACTCACAGAGATCCGCCTGGCTCTGCCTCCCGAGTGCTGGGATTAAAGGCGTGCACCACCACCGCCCGGCGGTTTTTTGTTTTTTTTTTTTTTTAGTTTTTTTTTAGTTTTTCTGAGACAGGGTTTCTCTGCGTAGCTTTGCGCCTTTCCTGGATCTCGCTCAGTAGACCAGGCTGGCCTCGAACTCACAGAGATCCACCTGGCTCTGCCTCCCGAGTGCTGGGATTAAAGGTGTGCGCCACCACCGCCCAGCATGAGCCCTTGTTTAAGAGCAAGGATAAAAGAGGGGCTGTGTGGAAGAGGATGAGAAAATGGGGGACCCCTGATTCCTTAGGCATCTTTGTGTCCCATTCTGTGTTAATCATTGTCCCATAGTTTATATTCCTGAGATCTTCAGAACTTGGGGAGTTCCTTGGACCCCCTTTTTAGTGACAGAAAAGCAGATTTAGTATGCTAAAGAAAATAAGGAGTGTCGAGGAAGGAAAAGTCTCCAGGCTTGGGCTCTGTGGCACCGAAGTGAAGTGGCTTCTGTACCTGGCAGTACGTCAGTGGTGTCTGCATGTCTCCCTGGACATGTATGTATGTATGTAAATATGTATGTATGTATGTAAATATGGCCAAGAGTCAAGGCCGAGCCTGGAAAATTTGTCCAGCAGTACAGCAGCTGGCAGCTCTAGGGTCAGGCCTCCCCAACCAAAATCTTGGCTATGGTACTCTGTCCTCAGTGACTTTGGATGAGTTCTTCGTGCTGACCTCAGCTTCCCCATCATTGAAATGGGAATAATGACCTACCCCTTCCTAGACTGTTGTATAAAAACACTTCGTGCTGAACATTGCCTGGTGTATGTTAGTGAATCTTAAATGTTAGTTCCCACCCACAGCCCAGCACAGCCCAGCACTCTCTTGAGCGTGAGAGCACTGAAGTTGAGTGGAGAGGTGGTTGGGGTGGTGTCTGGCCATGAGGGGGGAGCTTCCCCACTTGACTTCATGGATGTCCCTTGTACCCTGCTTCTTCAGGCTCACCAAGACTGCAGAATCACCTTGTTTTTTGAGATTTCCCATCCCATCAGCTTTGGTCTGTGCTGGAAATGATTCAGCATTGCTGGGACCCTCTAGAGCAGTGGTTCTTAACCTGTGGGTCGTACCCCTTGGGGAGGGTTGAATGACCTTGCATAGGGGTCACCTAAGACCATCTGCATATCAGATACTTACATTGTGATTCATAACAGCAAAATTACAGTTATAAAGTAGCAGTGAAAATAATTTTATGGTTGGGGGTCAGCACAACATGAACTGTATTAATTGGGATGGGGGGTCACAGCATTAGGAAGGTTGAGAACCGCAGCTCTAGAGAGTGAGTTGAGGTCCCTCTTGGTCAGATCTTCATGGTACCCAGGCCTCTTCTTCAGTCCTCTTCTTGGAGGTATATGCCATTTGATACGCACCATTCACTGAATCTGCTGTGTTTACATTTATTAAATGGTTAGGTATATCCTAAAACTTACCATACATTGAAAACCAAGTCGTATGACTTGGAAGAAAGAAAAATATGTGGGTTTTTTGGGGGGGAGGGGTTGTTTGTTGAGACGGAGTACCCTAAGTTGACCTAAACCTTAACTACATAGCTGAGACCGGCCTCACACTTGTGAGCCACCACACCCACACCCGGCCTCCCTCCAGAGTTCCTGTTCCTTCTGGAGCACGCTACAGTTCTCAAACATCAAAATTGGAGTGGACAATCCCATCTTCGTTTCTTCTCTGCATTCCACCCTTCCCTAAAGCTCTCCGTGTCACCAGCACCAAATGCCTGGCTTTCTGAGGATTTAACAGGAGTGTGGTCAGTGTGGGACCTGGGCCATCCCAAACAAGGAGCCCACAGGCATTGAGCATTCCTGTTTCTTTTCATGCAGAGTCCTGTGGTACCCTTCTAGGTTCTGTGGGAGCCCCAGGATGCTTCACCTCACATTTTGGGAGTGATTGGGGAGGGACATTGTCATTGGAAATCATAGGTGAATTAGTTTCAGTCAAGTTCAGCAGCCATTTAGAGGAAACACGGATCAAAAGTCAAAGTTCATGTGAGCTGATTAACCGAACTTGATATTATACTTTAAGTAACTAGAAGAGAGACATTTTCCATTGATAGGCAAGAGTCCAAAAACCCCACATGGGCAGAGCTCCTGTTTGCCCAGTCAGCAAGTCTGGAAACAAATGCTGGGTCAGACTACTCTTTTACTGCTCTCGCCCCCTGGTGGTGCCACTCCGGAGGCCCCGCAGCAGCCAGCAAGTTGAACATAGGAAGAGTTTAGTAAGCTGTTTGTTCTCTTTGAGTTGGCAAGAGGAAATGGGAAGCCAGCTCTGCCCAAGTGTCCTCGTCACCAAGCATGGAGTGAGACCCCCATCTCTCTGAATCCTCACACCACCCAGGAGCAGGCCCCCACCATTCACCTTGAGACTCAGTTGACAGAAGCAATGGCCCAGCCAGAATCTAAGCACAAGATGCTTGTGTCCATGGCCTAATGCTTCCTGCCATGCCATGCTGCTGCAGGTCCCCCCAGATAGGAGTAGGTGACTCCAGACTTGCCCATAACAATAGGAGGGGTGCTGGCCAACCCCTCCCCAGAAGCCTTCTTGTGCTCAGATGCTAGGGGAGTAGCTACAGTAATTATTAATACAGTAAACGGTAATACAAATGCAAGCCTGTCTACAAGGATAGTTTAATCCTTTGGGAAATAATAACTGGAGCTAGGGAGATAGTTTGGTGGATGAACTGCATCGTGAGGACTGGGTTCAGATCCCCAGAACCCACATAAAAAGTCAGACAGGCATGGTGGCCACCCGTAATTCCAGAACTTAGAGACCGAGATCCGAGTCCCCCAGCAAGCTGGATAGCTACCTAGGCAGAATTAACGAGCTCTAGGTTCAGCAGAGACCTTGTCTCAATAAAGTAGAAAACCGTGGAGAGATAGACACCCAGTGTCAGGCCTTCCCAAACATACATACATATACCATACACACATACAAAAAATGCAGGTAGTTATAAAAAAATTGCTACAAGGGGGACTGGAGAGATGGTTCAGCAGTGAAGAGCACTGGCTGCTTCTTCCAGAAGACTTGTTTGGTTCCCAGAACCCACATGGCAGCTCACAACCTCCTGTAACTCCAGTTCCAGGGGATCTGGCATCCTCTTCTGCTCTCTTCAGGCTCCTACATGCATGTAGAACAGATACATGCATTCGGGCACACATAAATAATTTTTTAAAAACAAAATTGCTACAAGGGATGGTGAGGATCCATTGCAGCAGTCCTCAACCTTCCCAACGCTGCACCCCTTTAATACTGTTCCTCATGCTGTGGTGACCCCCAACCATAAAATTAATTTCGTTGCTACTTCATAAATGTAATCTTGCTACTGTTATGAATCGTAAATATCTGATATACAGATGGACTTAGACAACCCCTATGAAAGGATCATTCAGCCCCAAGGGGTCACAACCCACAGGTTGAGAACCACTGACCCAGCAGCTCTTCGCAGAATCAAGCATGGTGCCATGCACTTATCCTAGCACTTGGTAAACTGAGGCAGGATTGCGAGTTCAAGCCAATCTATGATACATAATGAAGCCCTGTCGAGGCTAGAGGGTGGGTATGAGGATTAACAAGGCCTCATGGCCTATAGATTGTCCAGACAGTTGAGCTCGGAGGGAAAGAATGTGTTTGGCAGATTGAGAGTGAACAGCACTCCTGGAGTCTGGAAGAATTTGCTTTTGAGTGACTGTTTTTTACAGTCAGCACTGTGGAACTGGTGTCTTGACACCCGGGGTGTATACCTGGGTACACAGCTTAGTCCCAAGGGCCTGGCAGGCTTAACTGGTCCCACTTGGCCTGGGACATCACGACCAGGAGCGTCATTAGCCTCTGTGCATAGAATACCAAGGGTACCAGCAGGATGTAGACGCCAGCCCACCTCATTTGCCCTGCTCAGAGTTCTCTGGGTCTTTCAGGTACGGCTTGAGGTGTTTCGGGCAGAGGAGCTGATGGCCTGTGCTGGACTGACCTCGCCCAGAATTGTCCCTCTCTATGGAGCCGTGAGAGAAGGGTCTTGGGTCAACATCTTCATGGAACTGCTAGAAGGTAAGTAGATGGGTCCTATTTTTTTTCTCTCAAAACTCAAGGCCAAGAGTTAACCCCGACTTTGACCTTGGTCTCTAGTCAGTCCGTGTTGGACCTCCAAGCCCTGTGACATCCGGTTCTCCCACATCACCTGCCCTTCGCTCTTGGCCTTGGCTTGTGTAGAAGCCTGGGAAAGCCCCACATAAAGACTGGCTGTTCATTTCCTAGGTGGCTCGCTAGGCCAGCTCATAAAGCAGAAGGGCTGTCTGCCAGAGGACCGAGCCCTGTACTACTTGGGCCAGGCCCTGGAGGGGCTGGAATACCTCCATATACGAAGGATTCTGCATGGGGATGTCAAAGGTAAGGCCCCAGTCAGCATGGTCTTGATCCCAGCAGGCTGTGCTTCATGCCTTTCTGCCTGATTTCCTCCCAGTTGTGGGCCTGCCCACTTGTCAGCTGACAGGGCTGTGCAGTGGGTAGGGAATGACATTCTCCAGCCCGCACTCCAGCACTGTAGTCTGCAGGCTTGTTCCCAGAGAATTGAAGCGTAAACCCCTGACCACTGATACCTCTGGGAGAGGGCAGGGTGCCAAAGAGACCCCTCTCTGGGACAGTGTGGGGCGGTCGTGGTGGACCCCCTCCAGATCCTGCCTGCTGCCTGACCTTTAGCCTCAGCTGACAACCCCTCCTCCCCACCCCACCCCCCTGCTCTCCGTGACTAACTAGACTAATGAGAAGCAGCAGCTGCCGGGTAGGACTGGCCAGAAAGTTGCCTGACTAGAGGCCAGGTCAAGCCAGGCCGGGCGGGCTGGGGCCTGGAGCCTCAAGTGACTCACCTGTTCCCCTTCTTCCCTCTTGCTGGGTGCTGCCTGCAGCTGACAACGTGCTGCTGTCCAGTGACGGAAGCCGAGCCGCCCTGTGTGACTTTGGCCATGCCTTGTGCCTACAACCTGACGGCCTAGGAAAATCCTTGCTCACAGGTAAGGCCCTGTTCTCTGCTCACAATCACAATAGCCAGTAACCATCACTCAACATTAGCTTTGTACCACTGTGCTTTCCATGTGGGGATAAACGCTGTGGTCACCTTATGTCCCCAAGTAGAATTCAGCCCCACAACCACCCTGGGTTATCACAGGCTCTGGGTGCGCATAAATCCAGCAATAGATGTCAGACACTCCCTGACCATGTGACCGTACACAGCAAGGCCCAAAGGGCCCTGGACTCTACTGTAGGACCAGGCTTTGTAGTCCTGGCTTGCCTAAAACTCAATATGTAGACCAGGCTGGCCTCAAACTCAGAGAGATCTGCCTGCCTCTGCCTCCTGAGTGCTGGGATTAAAGGCGTGTGCCACCATGCCCAGCTAAGATTCATATTTTTTACTTTCTTTTTGTATGTGGAGTTTATTGTTGATTTTTGTCTTGTTTTGTTTTTTTGTGTTTTGCTTTGTTTTGAGACATGATCTCACTGTGTGCTCCAGGCTGGCCTCAAACACACAGTCCTTCTGCCTCAGCCTATTGAGTGTTAAGATTACAGGCCTATGCTCTACCTTCTTCTTTATCATGTGTGTAAACATACGATTATCATTACGGCATTTTCATATGTATGTACATACGTGTGTGTGTGTGTGTGTGTGTGTGTGTGTGTGTGTGTGACTTTATCTTGCTCTTATGTACACCTCCAATCTTTATCCTTCCTCCCCTCCTCTCACTGGTCCCCTACCTGCCCCCAATCTCCCTTCTTTCTTTTTTTTTAATAATTTGTTTTTATTTTATGCGCATTGGTGTTTTGCCTGCATGTATGTTGGTGTGAGGGTGTCAGACCTTGGAGTTCAGACAGTTGTGAGCTGCCATGTGGGTCCTGGGTCCTCTGGATGAGCAGGCAGTGCCCTTAACCACTGAGCCATCTCTCCAGACCCCCTGCTTTCTTTTTTTAACATGAACATTTTGCCGGCATGTATGTCTGTGCACGACGTCTGTGCTTGATGTCCATGGAGGCCAGAAGAGGACACCAGGGCCCCTGGAACTGGAGTTACAGTTGTGAGCCACCATGTGGGTGCTGGTGATTGAACCTGGGTCTTTTGTAACCTCTTAACCACTGAGCCATCTCTCCAGCCCCTCCCTCCTCTCTGTCACTTATATGTGTACATATGCTTAGTTAATGTAGATCCCACGTATGAGGGAAAGCATGTCTCACTCTGTCTGTTTGCCCCTTCTTCCCTCTGGGCTTTCCCTCCCCTCTCATGAATTGTTGCCTACCTCCAGCCACCCTTGTTTTTGAAAGAAGGTTACACCATAGCTCTGGAGCTCTCTGTGTAGACCAGGTTGGCCTCAAATTCAGAGAGATCCTCCTGCCTCTGACTCCCACATGTGCTAGGACTAAAGGCATGCACCACCACACCCAGCTCAGCTATACCTTCTGTTTTCATGTCACAAACACATTATATTTAAATCTAGATTCCGAGGCTGGGATATAGCATAGTGGGTAGAATGCTCACCTAGCATGCGTGAAGTCTTGGCTTCCCAGCATTCTGTAAACTGGGCATCATGGCATGTACCTGTAATCCCAGAGCACTTATACACTGAGACAGGAGGGTCAGTAGTTCAAAGTCATCCTCAGCTACATGTCAAGTTCTAGGCAGTCTTGAGCTTATGAGACCCTGTCAGTGTGTGTGTGTGTGTGTGTGTGTGTGTGTGTGTATAATATTATATATATTTATATATAGGTTTGCATGTGATGTAAACATGTGATTCTCGTCTTCCTGGGTCTGACTTATTTTATTTAACATGATGCTGTCCAGTTCCATCCATTTTCCTGCCAATGATAAGATTTCTTCTATTTCTGTAAAACTCCACTGTGCACATGCACCACATGTTCTCTGTCCATCATCTGTTGACAAGTATGTAGGCTGGTTCCTTGTCTTGGTTATTGTGAATAGTCCAGTATCTCGTACCCTGCAGTCTAGCTGTAAAAATAATCCATGCCTATTGTAAAATATTTGTTATAAAAGAAGGAAAAGGAAACATTCTTACCTAGTCCTCTTCTCCAAAGAGAAAACCATGAATAATTTACATAATTCCATAAGTTTTTTCATGCCTCCTTAAAGCCATTGTAATTCAATTCTGTAACCTGCTTTTTCCACTTAAGAGAATATAAGGTTCATTTAAAAAGAAAAAAGTTCTGTATTTTTTTTGCTTTGTTTTTAATGTGTGTGTATGCAAATGTGTATGCAGGTGTCCTTGAAAGCCAGAAGAAGGCATTAGATCCCCAGGAACTGGAGTTCTAGGCAGTTGTGAGCCACCTGATGTGGGTGCTAGGAACAGAACTTGGTCCTCTATTGTGTGATACTTTGTGTTCTGACAAATAAAGCTTGGCTGGAAATCAGAGGTGGAGCTAGCCACTAGTTAACCGTAGAGTCTGGGCAGTGACTCTGGCAGGAGCCCCCACATGCAGCTCCGGCCTGTGCCCATGGCTGCAAAGTGAATTTTCATGAATTCATGTCCCACCTTGGGTGCCAGCTGAAGTAGGAACCTAATTAGTCTTATCAATAAAAACCAGGAGTCAGATATTGGGGTAAAAAACTGAAAAATCAGAGAAGCAGAGGAGCAGCCACCAGTGACTTCTTACCTCTCCAGGTCCTCTGACCGAAAGGGCCAAGATCCGGTCTCTGCCCCACCTAATCACTTCCTGTCTCCACCTTCTGAGTGCTGGGATTAAAGGTGTCCACAACCACCCAGCCTCTGTGGTTAACTAGTGGCTAGCTCCCCCTCTGATCTCCAGGCAAGCTTTGTCAGAACACAAAATATCACACAACAGACCTCTGGCAGAGTAATCAGCGCTCTTTGCTGAGCCATCTCTCCAGCCCCCAAATGGTTCTGTTTTGACCAAAGGGAAAAGAATCTATTAGAAGTCTGAGCATCCCCATCCAAAATTACTCTCAAGTTGCAGTCGGACTCAGGCACACTGACAGTATCGTGTGGAGAAGGCCATATCCCATATCATTGTCATACAAGGTTTGAGTTCTATCTCCAAGACTGCCTGCCCATTGGAAATATTCCTAGATTTCAAAAACGAAAACCAGACTACTTCTGCCCTCTTGCTTTGGATAAGGACACTCAGCCTGTGTCCAGCATGGGTAGTGTGATATGAAAGGGCTGTGTGGGCGATTCTGGTGGTCTAAATTAAACATTTATCTTAAAATGACATTAATGAGTCTTTTGATAATCCATTACAAAAATAACATCCTTTCCACTGTTTTTTTTTTTCTTCAAGAATACTGAGCAAAAATGTCAAGTCCAAAGCACCGTTATACAAATACTGTTAGGCCAGGCATGGTTGCACACACTTTTAATCCCAGCACTCAGAAAGCAGAGGCAGTCAGATCTCTCTGAGTTCAAAGTCAGCCTGGTCTACAAAGTGAGTTCCAGCACAGCCATGACTGCATAGTGAAATCCTGTCTAAAATAATAGTAATAATAAAACACTGTTAGCCAAGCCTGTAATCCCAGCCACTTGGGAAGCTGAGGCAGAAGAATTGCAAGTTCAAGGCCAGCTTTGACAATTTAGAGACCCCATCTCAAAATAGTGCAAAGAGGGCAGGCTACTGCTCAATGGTAAAGTCCTTGCCAAACATGCATAAGGCACTGGAGTCAATCTCGAAAATTGGAAGGAAAAAAAGTTGATATCCACTTAACTATATATGCTGGCTGCTGTTGACTTTTGTTTTGTTTTTTTAAGATTCATTTATTTATTATGTATATAGTGTTCTGCCTGCAAGTTTGCCTGCCTGCCAGAAGAGGGCACCAGATCTTATTATTACAGATGGTTGTGAGCCACCATGTGGTTGCTGGGAACTGAACTCAGGACCTCTGGAAGAGCAGCCAGTGCTCTTAACCTCTGAGCCATCTCTCCAGCCCCTCTTTGACTGTTTTATAATTATATGCTTTTGTGATTATGAATTTCCTGGGTTTTGTTATGGAGCACGTTGGAGTTTTGTTTATTTAGCTTGTTTGTTTTGATTTGTGGTTTTTATTTGTGTATGCGTTATTGCTGTGACATTCCTAAACCATTAATTATATGAAAAAAAAATGCAGCCAAGGTAAACATAGTGGCTCGTGCCTGTAATCCTAACACTTGAGAGGATGAAGTAGAAGGGTAGTGCTGTGAGTTCAAGGCCAGCCTGGTCTATATAGCAAGTTCCACTAGAGACACTCTGTCTCAAAACAAACAAAAAAGCAAAACCATGGCCCAGTGAGATGGCTCAGCAGGTAAAGGTACTTGCTGCAAATTTGTTGACCTGAGTTTGTCCCCAGGACCTATGTAAAGGTGGAAGGAGAGAACCGACTCCACACAGTTCTCTGAACTCCACATGTGTGTCATGGCACATATGCATGTGCACACATCCACACAATAGTAATGTAATCACTTTTAATTTAAAGTACTTCATCTGGGGTAACCCAGGAATTAAATATTGTGGCCACTGAATTAGTACGTAATGATTCTATCTCTGGTGCTGCTTTCTCAGGGGACTACATTCCTGGTACAGAGACCCACATGGCCCCAGAAGTGGTGATGGGGAAGCCCTGCGATGCCAAGGTGGACATCTGGAGCAGCTGTTGCATGATGCTCCACATGCTCAATGGCTGCCACCCCTGGACTCAGTACTTCCGAGGCCCACTCTGTCTCAAGGTCAGTGGTTGCCACAAAACAGCTGTGAGGGGAGGCCAGCAGGGCCATGGATCTAGGCCGCAGGCTTGTGAGGGTTGTTCTTCCATGGCAGATGTGAATAATGGAAGGTGTCTTCTGCCTGTCCCCTGGGCTACTTCCACCAGCTCCTTTAGACTAGGCCTGGAAGACAGGGAGTCTCTTGCCAGGCTCTGTCCTGCCCTATTTGGATCCGTCTCTCCCTTTTCTAGGGAGACTCTCCCCACTGACTGTGGCCCAACCCTCTCCCTTCTTGGGGTAGATCCCCAAGCTAGCATAGGATTGGTGGGGAGTAAAGAGTAAGGCTGCTAGTGGGAATAAGGAAACAGGTCTTGCATGTTGCGTTTTGGCCTCCAGATTGCCAGCGAGCCTCCACCTGTGAGGGAGATTCCTCCCTCCTGCGCACCCCTCACAGCCCAGGCCATCCAAGAGGGGCTGAGGAAAGAGCCTGTCCACCGAGCCTCTGCCATGGAGCTTCGGGGGAAGGTGGGCCAGGCATTACAGCAAGGTAAGAGCCTTGTCTGCCTGGGCAGATGGCAAGCCGTGGGCAGAGGGAAGATCAGGACCGAGACTGTCAAAAATGAGAGAAACATTCGAAAAAACCAAAAAAAAAAAAAAAAAAATGAGAGAAACAGCGCCTCAGAGCCTCGGTCTCCCATCTTCCCTCCAGTGCTGGGAAGATTGAGGCAGTGAGTCCCTGTGCTTGAGGCCAGTGTCAGACTTGAGAGACGGAGGAAGAGGGACTGTATGACATGGAACAGTGACTCAGTGTGAATTAGAACCACACACATCCAATAGCCACTCAGCCATAAAGAACCAGAAAGTTGGTAGCACCAAGTGCTGGTGGGACTGTGGGTTAGCAAGACTCCTGGGCACTGGGAGGGCATAGACGGGGCTGCAGCCATGCTGGAGGGTACCTATTAGCACTCGGGCAGACCTTTGCACACCCAGGACCCAACCCCTCCGCTCCTGGTGCACTACAGCCCTGTTGTTAGAGGGAGTTGAGCGTGATTCGGAGTCCCTCAAGGGAGGGTGGAAAGGCAGGAGGATGGGGAATGAGCCATCGCCCAGCACTAAGTATTCAGAGTATCAGGAACTGATATGAACGCTGTAGGCAGTGAGTGCTAAGTGAACAGTAGAACCCCTAAGAGGAGGCTCGGAGCCTAAGAGCTCTATTGCAAGTTAAAAATCAATAATGCAAGCAGCACACATTTTAAGCTGGGTGTGATGACTCATGCCTAGAGTCCCAGCACCTAGGAGGCAGAGGCAAAGAGGATTATTGGACTTTGAGGCCTCAGATTAGAGTGAGATATTGTCTTAAAAAAAAAAAATGAGGGGCCTGGAGAGATGGCTCAGAGGTTAAGCTCACTGGCTGCGCTTCCAGAGGTCCTGAGTTCAATTCCCAGCAACCACATGGTGGCTACAACTTCAGGGCATATGATGCCCTCTTCTGGACTTTGTGGGCACTGCACTCACATAATCAACACATACATACATACATAATTTAATTCTTTTTAATTGATGGGCCATTCTTGCCAGGGCTGGTGTCTGTATACCTGCACACTTCCGACTCACTTCTGGTGCCTTCTCCCTTACAGTGGGAGGTCTGAAAAGCCCTTGGAAAGGAGAATATAAAGAACCAAGACCTCCACCTCCAGACCAAGCCACCTGCCACCAGACCCTGCACACCCCACCAAGGGAGAACCCACCATCCAAGGCCAGCACACCATCCAAGGCCAGCACAGACGGGGCCTCTGAGCCTCGGCCTCCTCTGCCACCAGAACCACCAGAACAGAACAGAGCTCCAGCCCTGAACCTGAGCAAGGAGGAGTCCGGCACATGGGAACCCTTGCCTCTGTCCTCCCTGGACCCATCCCCTGCCAAGGGCCCCAGCTTCCCAGACCGGAGGGCAACCTTTCCAGAGCTGGAGCTGCAACAGCTGGAGATAGGTACGGCATTTGTCTGTAGCCATACGTGCAGGCACGCACGCGCACGCACGCACGCACACACAGGGTTTTTGTTGCTGCAGTTCCCAGCCTTTTTTCCGCCCTGTTCCCAGCAGGCCGGCTCCTGCAGGTTGTGCAGGAGGAATGCTGGGTAGCAGCTTCAGCTTTTCCGCCCTTCATGGCCGTCTTCCTCTCCCCCCGCAGAACTGTTTCTCAACAGCCTGTCACAGCCCTTTTCTCTGGAGGAACAGGAACAGATTCTCTCTTGCCTCAGCATCGACAGCCTCTCACTGTCAGAGGACAGTGAAAAGGTGAGCTGCTGAACAGCTTGGGCATGGGCTCTGTGCAAGCGGTAGGTAGAGGAGGGGCAGGGAGGTCACCCCTCCTTTCTTGGAGGGGTCTTTGCTCCCCAAACCAAGACAGTAGGCCTTCAACACGCCTAGGAGTCAGGAAAAGCTTTAGTTAGTAGGGAAACTGGGGGGGTAGCTTTGGTCCCACACAGAAATGCACCTTCCCCATCTAGCCTAGGACAGGCAGGTCCTGACCCTAGGAGAGGCCCAGGTCCTCTTGTTCCCAAAGGAAACCAAGGCCAGAGACAGTTTCCTGAGCACAGGGCTGAGTCTGTGCCTGCTCTTGTGTTCAGAACCCATCAAAGGCCTCTCAGAGCTCACGTGACACCCTGAGTTCCGGCGTGCACTCCTGGAGCAGCCAGGCAGAGGCAAGAAGTTCCAGCTGCAACATGGTGCTGGCCCGGGGGCGGCCCACGGACACCCCGAGCTACTTCAATGGTATGGTCCACTTATCCCCTCTTGCCAGCCCACTCCTGCCAAAGACCTGGGAGGGGTGGAGAGAGTTCATTGGCTTCTCTCATTACAAAGGGGTCAGGGAGGAAGGTGTCTGCCACCCAGAACCTCACATCTTTGCCTGGAAAGTTGGGTTTAGACCAAAAGCCCTGACCACCCACCAAGCTTTCTAGATAATGAGGGGAGAGCCATGTTCCCCCACTGGCTACCAGTAGAGGTGCGGAAGCCCGACAGTATGGGGAGGAAAATGGCCCTCCTGGGCTAGGGCCAGAAGCTGAGTAGCTAAATGCCTGCTGATGGGGAAGGAAGGAAAATGCCCACGAAGTCAGCAGTGAGTTTGTCGGCATCGTCTCCGGGGGTCTGAAGTTAGAAGATGAGGAGACACATAAATGTCCACTTTCAAACTTGGGTGCACTGTTCTGTTGGAGGTGGGCTTTATCAATTCATAGGTCCTAGCCCTCCCCAGGGCCAGTGTGACTCAGTCAGGCCCCAGGGCCATGGCAAAGCACTTCAGCTCAGAGATTCTCACGTTGCCTGCAGTCTAATTTAAGAATGTTGAAGAGAATGGGAGCATGACAAGCTTGCTTCCTGTCTGGACTAAAATTGGGATGATATGACTCAAAGGCACCAATGCTCACAATTCATCAGAAATGACAGTGTGAGGTTAGGGTGGCATTATTTAAGTAAATCCTTTACTGAGTCAAGATGGGTAGCCTAACTTGTCTCTTACATCTTTAGAGTTCTCTGTTCAATATTAAAAGAAAAGTCTCTGTTGGGTCTTGAATTTTCTGGAATTGGCTTGTTATTTAAAAAGATAATTTTCCAGGCATGGTGGCACATGCCTTTAATCCCAGCACTCGGGAGGCAGAGGCAGGTTGATCTCTGTGAGTTCGAGGCCAGCCTGGTCTACAAAGCAAGTTCCAGGACAGCCAGAACTGTTACACAGAGAAACTCTGTCTCAAAAAAGAAGAAAAATAAATATAAAAAAATATTTAATTGTGCCCAGAGTTGTCATGAAGGGACTCACAAGGGCTTAGAGGAGACTCAGTGGCAGGGTGGCTGTCTGACGTCCTTGACACTCTGCCAGAGAAGCAGTGGGGACGGGGGTCTTTTATCTCTCTGAATAGAGGCGACACCTGTAGCCCTTTCCCTAGATGTTTTCAAATGGATTCTGGGAAACTAAAATTGCACGAAATTCATTATGTTGTTTACCCATTTTAACAGAAAAATGTGGAGTAGTCTGGAGTATATTAACTGGAAAGAACTTTGAAATGACAGTCACTTGTCACCACTCATAAAATAGAGGGCTTCACAGAGGGGTTCAGTTAATGTCATTTTGGGGAAGGTTAATATTAATACTTCGTCTTTTTGTTGTGTTGCTGAGGATTGAACTCAGGACCCTTGTGCATGCTGGGTAAGTGCTCCACCACTGAGCATCCCCCAGCCTGGATGTGTCGCACTAAAAGAAGTTAGTCTATGCTATTTGTTTGTAGAAGACTTTAAAATGGCTGCATGTTATCACATTTGCCTCAGTTGACTGAACTAAAAACAAAAAGGAGAAGAGGCCTTTAATCCCAGCACTCAGGAGGCAGAGGCAGGTGGATCTCTGTAAGTTCGAGGCCAGCCTGGTCTACAGAGTGAATTCCAGGACAACTAGGGCAACACATAGAAGCCCTGTCTTGAAAAACTAAACAAGACAAAAATGGGGAGATAAAGAAATCTAGATGAAGGAATTATGAAGAGTGGAAAGACAGACGGGTGATAAACCAGTAACTTGGTCAGGGGGAGGGGCCCTTTGTCTTCAGTGCCTTTTTGCTGTAGATCCAGAGTAGAATGTTTCTTCCCCCTGGGAGCTGACCTCAGCTCTTAACAAGGTGCAGGCCAAATTCCAGGCATTGCTGGCCAGGAAGTGCTGGGTAGTATTATGGCCCCTTGACCTGAATTTTCTCTCTGCTGCTCACCCCGGCCAGAACGCGCCACTCCATGACTCTATGAGGGCAGAGTGACTTCACAGAGGTTGACCCTGCCCGTGTGGGTCCCTGCTCTGGGTGACCAGCCACGGCTCTGCCCTCACTGTCAACCTCTGCCTTCTAGGTGTCAAGATCCAAATACAGTCTCTCAATGGCGAACACCTGCACATCCGGGAATTCCACCGGGTCAAGGTGGGAGACATTGCAACTGGCATCAGCAGCCAGGTACGACACAGGTCACACTTAGGGTCTGCCCTGGGAGACAGGGGCCCCTGGCTTAGCTGTCCTCCAGGGCCCAGGGCAAGACAGGCAGGGGCTGTTCTCTGAACTTGGGCTAGGAAGGAAGACTCTCCAAGTCCTCCAGAGTGAAGGACAGGCTGCTTGTTTGGCTGCAGATGTCTCCGAGCATGTTTGGGGACCATCAGCTTTACACTCTGGGTTCTCACCCCACTGCTTTGCTCTCCCCACAGATCCCAGCCCCAGCCTTCAGCTTGGTGACCAAAGATGGACAGCCTGTTCGCTATGACATGGAGGTGCCAGACTCAGGCATCGACCTGCAGTGCACCCTGGCCCCTGACGGCAGCTTTGCCTGGAGCTGGAGGGTCAAGCATGGCCAGCTGGAGAACCGGCCCTAGCCCTGTCTTCACGGCCAGCTCCACTCTGCCCACAGCAGGCTTCCTGTGAATCTCAGTGTTCCATGCTGCCCTGAGATGCTAGCTGAGTCTGCTCAGGGAGATCTGCCAGTCCTTGTTCAGCAGTAAGACCAGGGCTTGCAGCAGCGACAGGAGCAGATAAAGCACCTCCCAGGATTTGCCTCCTGAGTGCTGCTGGCCTCTGGCAGGAGAAACCCTTCACTCATGAGGAGACAAGGAGGAAGACGGGGGTCTCATCCCCCAAGGAAGAGAGCCAGTGCTCTCTGTGATGCTCTGAACAAGGTAGCCAGACTCCCATGGATCAGTCAGCACTTGCCAGCAGTTGGAGGGCAGCTTCTAGCCTGGGTCAAGAAGAGCAGGTACCTAGAAAGGTAGAAGAGCCGGGCTCCCACCCAGCGCGTACAGAAAAAGCAGCAGGTGGACCCGCTCAGGGGCTTGTGGAGCCTTTGACCCCTTGTCTGGTCTCCCTGGCCGTTGACTAGTATGAGACAGCAGGCAAGAAGGATGCTAGCACCTTGGTAGAATGCACCACACCTCCAGGTGATTGCAGCCCAGGTCCTGAGTTGAGCTCCTTGTTCAACCAAGGGCCACAGAAGGTATTGAAGAGAAGTGATTCTCAGGCCTCAGTTTGTGGCTGCTGGCCATCACTCCTCCTCAGAGCATCAGGCCTCATTGAGGCCTACCTTTTGGCTAGCTGGCACTCTAGCCCCTCATCTGTGAAACTGAAGGATGACATGAGACCCACCTGACAGGAATAGTCTGCAAATGACAGATGCTAAAGCCACAGATGCAGGACTCGCCACCCTCCAGGGCACATAGTGGGTATCCAGCATGCCAGCTTCGTGGTGGCAAGACACTGCCAGCAGCACTTTGCACTCTGATGACCTCAAAGCACTTTTCTGGCTGCCTTCCAGCAGAGCATTGGCTCTGCATGGGCACAAGCAGGCCAGGGGATGGGGAAGGGACTGTCTTGACCCATCATCCACACAGGTTTGACCGTCTCAAGCCGCCTCCAGATTTAAGATGAGCACTCCCACCCCCACTGCCCAAGCCAGGCTTTTCCTGGTGGGGCCTGGAGTAGCTGCTTAGGACTCATGTAGCATTAAGTTAACTGTGAATCATTGTGGGGAGGGGCGCAGAGACCCCTCCTCTGGAAAAGCTCATCCCCCACCCCAGCCAGCCATGATAGCTTCCACCCAGCTATTTGCAAGGAGCCAGGCTGCTCCTGGCCCCACCAGAGGAAGAACTGCAGCCAGCGCTGCATTTGGGGTGTACCTGAGCTCTGTAAGCAATAAAATTTGGGGTGATGATTGGGTGTTTGTAAGCTGTGGTCTCTTTTGCCTGCCTGCTTGCTATACCCCACAACTGTTGGGGTGAATTCCTTCGGGTCTCCCCATTGTTGGGGGTAAGTACCGGCATCAGCCCTCGAGGTAGGCTGCTCGTCCTTCCACTCTCCAGGCTGCCCATCTCTTGCAGCTAGCCAGACTCATGGCTGAAGGGAGGAAGCCAAAAGGCCAGGCCCCCCAGTAGCACCAGAAGGGGAGGGGCTTGCATGTCCCAGCACTAATACTCACCCTCTCCTGTCCCTGAGGCCTGGCAGCCAGAGGACTTGCCTGGTATCAGTTTGAACATTGGCATGGGATGGCGATGACTTTCCTCCATCATGGAGCAGAGGGTGGCCGAGAACGGAGGTGCATTGTCTGATCTGGCCCCAGTCCCTACAAAGAGCTGACTATGCCGGTGCACATCTGTAATCCAGCCTTGGAATATATAAAGAATTTGAGGCCAACCTGGGCTACATGGGACTTTGTCTCAAAGTGAAAACAAGTTTTTAAAACAGATTTGAGACAGGGTCTCACTGTATAGCCCTCGTTATGTGGGCCAAGCTGGCCTCAAACTCACAGAGACCCCATCCCCCTGCCTCCACCTCCTCAGTGCTGGAATTAAATAAAGGTTTATGCTACTATGTCCAGCTAGGGGAAAAAATTAAAGCCAGCTGAAATTATTCTGAGTAAAGAGGCTTAACACCAGACCTGACTATCTGAATTTGACCCCCAGGAATTGGGTAGTGGAAGGTGACAACCAGTTCCCAAAAGTTGTCCTCTGACCTCCACACACTGGCCATGGAATGAAGTGTCCACACACACAAATAATAAATGTAATTGTAAAAAATTGTAAGATCACCCTGGAAAGCTCTGCACGGGTGTGTGTAATGCACACGTGTACAGCTTAGATTGAGATTCAGCCATCCTTGGAGGAATCCTAGACCCTCAAAAATGCAGCGGCTTTGTAGCCAGATAAGGTTCGAAGCCCTGTCCTTACCCAGGACTGCTGTCCACATACCTGGTCTGCTGGGAGTGTCTCTCCCCGCTCCCCCTCCCCCACCTCCCGCGCGCCCCAGGCCTTTGTCCCAGTGCCCTGGCTGCTGCACCTCCAAGCCTTGAAAGATCCTCAGCTGCTCCCGCCTACATCCTTGGCGTCAATCTTCAAGTTTCCTGCCTGTCGGATCCCTTGGCCAAACGTCACAGAAGCCGCAGCATCACAGCCGCCAGCACCCATCATCGCCAGCGCCCCTTCACCCGGCTAGCCAAAGAGCGCACTGGAGGCGGAGGGGCAGCAGCCACCAGCCCGCTCCCCGCCCCCGGACAGAGCCTCCGTCAGCATGGGGGTGACAGGTGGGAGCAGGCGGCCGAGTGGTGGGCGGCGCCAGAAATGGCAGGGTGGAGGCGGAAAAAGGGAAACCGAGTGATGCCCCAGAGTTGGCCTGGGAAGTGGAAAGGAAAGCTGACCCCAACCAAGCCCCTCCGGGTGCCGTTGATTAATGCTGCAGCCCCGCGCGCGCGCGGTGTCCAAAAAAAAAAAGTGGGGGCGGGGAGGGGACTGGATCGGTCCGGGGTCTTAGTGAATTTAGCCCAACGGGATCACATTCGCGGATATAAATGCACACATTTGGCGGAGCTAAGGGCTGGGAATTTAATGTCTTTGCAAAGGCGGTCGCCGAATCCACCTTGTGTGAGACACTGCGGACGACCAGAGACTCAAAGCGAGTAAAGCCGCAACCCGCGGAGGGTCTGGGGAAGAGTCAGCAGGAGACCACGTGCTCTGAACGGTGGGCCTAGGCTACCGGAAGAGCTGTGAGGTCTAGAAGGCCTCCCAAGCATTGTTGAGGCCTTGCGTCATCACAGTGAGAAGCCAGGAGCACTGACGAGTGCGAGTGTGTGATGTTTAAGGATGGTGAGATTTAAGATCTCCTCCAGGAAAAACGTGGTCACATGCTTGAAAGCACCATGGTGCAAGGACGACTCCTTGTCCACCTCTATCCTCAGCCTCCAATACAGTGGCCAATAACTGAGACTCAACATTTCCTTTTCAACTTTATCAAAGAAATAAATACCCCTTGACTCAAGAGCACTGAAGAGTTTATTCGTTAATGAAAAAAAAAAAATCATGGTCCCCAGGCATGTCTCAGAGCAGCTGCAGGCCTAGCACTTTAACTTTTCTCAAAACAACAAAATAAATAAATAAATAAATAAATAAATAAATAAATAAATAAATAAATAAGTTCTAAGTTAAAAACTAATCAGAATTTAAAGCCAACCATTATTAGTGACTCTACTGCCAGTATGCGTTCCTTCCTCTTGTAAGTCACTGAGGTTTCCCTTTTAAAAGTTTGTGACCCAGGCAGTGGTGGTGCACACCTTTAATCTCAACACTCGGGAGGCAGAGGCAGGTGGATATCTGTGAGTTCAAGGTCAGCCTGGTCTACAGAGTGAGTTCCAGGATAGCCAAGGCTACACAGAGAAAACCCTGTCTCAAAAATCAAAATAAATAAATAATAAAAATTAAAATAAAATAAAATAAAAATGAAGTATTTGTGGGACAGAGGTAGCATGCTCGTTAAAAAAATACTCGATGTGCAGGTCTGAGGACCAGGGTTCAGATCCCTGGAACCCACATAAATGCCAAGTGGGTGAAATGTCCAGCCTGTAATCCCAGAGCAAAGCTGGCCGGCTAATCAATCTGTGAGCTCTGGGTTTCCTAGAGACCCCACCTCAGTGAAAGAGGCGGAAGAGAACCAAGATGACTCCCAAAGTCAGCCTCCAGCCTACACATGCACAACACCCACACACACATGAAAATGAAAAACATATTTGTGACTCGGTTGTACCTGATATAAACAACGGCCACAGCCGGTCTGCCCAGTAACCAGAGAACTTTCCAAGCCGGTGAGAGCCTTCACCTAAGGGAAGTGTTATTTTTTCTTCTCCAACTTCTCTGTTCTCACCAGGCCTCCTTCCAGATTTCATAAACAGATCTGGGTGGAGAAGATAGGATCTTATCAGAATCTTGCAAGCCTGAGGCTCTGAGTTCAACCCCCAGAACTCACGTAAAACAGACACGGTGGTAGTGCCTATGATCTCAATGCTAAGAAGGCAGGCAGGAGGAACCCTGAGACCCTGGCTGGCCTGAGGAGCCAGTAAGAGAGTCTGTCTCAAACAGCAATGTAGAAGGTGCCTGAGAAAGGACACGCAAGGCTGTCCCTCCAGCCTCCACATGCACACACATGTGCAAATGCACACACACACATGCACACATATGAAAAAAAGCAGACTCCCTACTAATTCTCTTCTGTCACTACAGCTCGATATTTGGGGTCCTCTCTCTGGAAATACTCTTTCTTGGTTTCCAGTGCTATCTGCCAGAAAGCTTTCTCCTTTCTTTCATTCTTTTTTTCATAGTGTCCTGTTATTATTTTTTTAATGTGATACATTTTTAGTGTCATCCTTGAATCTCTGAAAACGATCAGCTTCTCTTCTAAGTACTCTGTTTTTCAAATCACCTTTGGTGTCCTGAGATCACTGTTCCACCTGCTTATTGACAGTTTTGTCAAATAGTTGGTGGCCCCTGGTCGCCCCTATTCAAGAATGAAACCAAATAAGGAGCTCAGTGGGATCCCTTCAACTGTAGGTCTTACCGCCTGGCCAGTGTCACTTAAGGGTGGTAAGACAGGAACCAGACTCCTGTGGGAATGTCAGTGTCTTCTGACGCCTTACCCAGTGGGGGAAGAGCATCTTCAACCCTGACTCTCCCTTCATTCCTCGAATCTGAGCTCCCCCCACCCCATTTGTGTGATCTTCCCTCTTCCTCCTTAGATAGCATTCCTAGTCTTCTGCTTTCCACACTCTGGAAGCACAGAGAACTCTCTGGTGTGCTGTTCACTGGCTTAGTTTGATCATTACAAATTCACATTCATATGCTTTCATTCTCTCTGTGTCTGTCTGTCTGTCTCTCTCTGTCTATCTCTCTGTCTCTCTGTTAAATATGGAGTCTCTCAAGTGCTCAGCAGATGCTGTGCCTCTGAGCAGTATCCCAGCCCTTTCTCATCTCTAAGTTCCATTTCAAACACCCAGTCATGAGGAGGAAACGATGTCACACTGTTGAGGGTTCTCTCTAACTGGTGTGTTGGTCTGTTATCCTATTACCATTTGAAGGTAGACTTGTGATAAGTTAAAGTTGCATAGTCTGAGCCTTAAAGCAACTAAAATAACAAGACGGAGTCATAGCTTTGAAAATCCGGTAGAATCATACAAATACATAATCTAAAGGAGGGGGCATAAAAAAAAAGCAGAGGACACATGGAAAGGAAATAACAGAACAATCCATTTAAACACCAAAGGCAGATGTCACGTAGCTCCCTTCTAAAGAAAGTGTTCAGCGTACATAAGAGCATTGTCCTGGGTTCAGTCTCCAGCACTGCCCTCTCCCCTCCCCACCCACCCCCCCACACACACCAAGTCACTTCTAAACAGCCGAGATTGCCTAAGTAGACAGAAAATGTGACACTTAGGCTGGGGATGTAGCTATATTGATGGATGCTTGCTGGGATACACGGGCTCTGGAAAAAGAGAAGAAGAAAAAAAAGACTCAACTACATGCTGCCCATTTAAAATTTACTTTAAATATAAAAATACAAAGATTAAAAGGAAAGTGATAGCTTGTGCTAACGTTAATCCCCAGTACCACGAAAGTGAGACTACAGAAAGAAAGCTAAAGTTCTATATCAATATCAAAGCAGGTTTAAAATCAAATAACAGATCAAAGGAGATCGTTTCACCGTGATAAAGAGGTTACTTGGTCAAGGGTTAGGGAAAGTAGTCAGGAAAGGTGCTTGCCGACAACCTGAGTTCAACCCCCGGGACTACACAGTAGAAGAAAACTGACTCCTGTAAATAGTCCTATGACCTCCATATGTGCAGGAGTGCATGTGCATGCACACACACACACACACACACACACACACACACACACACTCACACACACACACACACACACACACACACACGCGCGCGCATACACATACATAGCACAGTAATTAACAAATAAATGCTAATTTTTTAATTATAGAAGGAAACTTGGGAAAAGTAAAGCCAAACATGGTTGTGTACACCTGTAATCCCTGTACTCACAAGGCAGAGATAGAAGGATTGCAAGTTCGAGGACAGCCTGGGTGACACAGTAACTTCCAGGCTAGCCTAAGCAGGCTAGCCTAAGCTATATAGTAAGACCTTGTCTCAAGAAACAATACTAATAGGGGCTGGGGGTGTAGCCCAGGAGGTTGAGCACTTGCCTAGCATGCACAAAAACTTGGATTTGAGTCCCAGTACCTCCTAAGCCAGGTGTGGTAGCACCTGCTTGTAATCCCAGAAACTTGTTAGATAGAAGCAAAGGGATAAGATATCTCAGGTCATCCTTAAGTACACAGCACATTCAAAGCCAGCCAGAGAAGCATTGAACTCAATAAATAAATAATAAGTAAATAAATAAATGAATAATTATATATAAAGGAAACCAAAATAATAGCAATGCTATCATCATTTTAAAAGGAATGTCTAGGCCTAGAAAATGAAGTTTTTGCCCAGTATATGCAAGGCTCTGAGTTCCATCCCCAGGGCTGCAAAACAAAAGAATGAATAACTATCCTAAAGGATTGTATCTTTAACATCAGAGTGTCAGAGTATGTGAAGAAAAACTAGTATAATGTCCAAGTGTGGCCTACAGTCCCAGCACTCAGGGACAGGGACAAGGGGATCAGGAGTTCAAGGACAGCTTTGGTCACACAGGGAGTTTGAACTCAGCCTGAGCTGTCAGATGCTGTCAGAGTCAGGAAAGGGAAGGAAGGGAGGGGCTAGAGAGGCAGTTCTGCAGTTGAGAGCACTTGCTGCTCTTGTAAAAGGCCCACGTTCACATCCCAGCATCTAGGTCAGAAAGCTCACAACCACCTACAACTCCAGCTCCAAAGGAATCCAGTGCGCCCTCTTCTGGCTTCCACTGGCATCTGCACTCACATGCACATACCTGTACACAGCCACACATGCATACACAAAATTTAAAAATCACACGCCTTTAATCCCAGCACTCGGGAGGCAGAGGCAGGTGGATCTCTGTGAGTTCGAGGCCAGCCTGGTCTCCAAAGCGAGTACCAGGAAAGGCGCAAAGCTACACAGAGAAACCCTGTCTTGAAAAAACCAAAAAATAAAAAAAATAAATAAAAAATCATTTTAAAAATAAATATTTAACCAGATGATGGTAACTCACACCTTTAATCCCAGCACTCGGGAGGAAGAAGCAGGAGGACCTCTGTGTGTTTGAGGCCAATCTGGTCTACAAAGCAAGTTCCAGGATAGCCAGGACTGTTACACAGCGAAACCCTGTCTCGAAAAACCAATAATAAATTAATTAATAAATAAATACATACATAAATAAATATGTTAAGAAAGAGAAAGAAAATATGAAAGTAAAAAGTGCTTCAGTTAGTAGAAGAAGGATAAGATTGTGCAATGGGGGTAAATATAATCAAAATACATTAGCTACACGTATGAAATCGTTAAAATTTTACTTACGAGGAAACCTGATGTAACTTCCATGGAGAAACAGTGGGATCTGCCATCATAGTTGAAGACTTCAGCGCTCCTCTCAGGGTCCGAAAGGAGGCGTAGACACAGAGTCAGTAAGGATGTCCAGGAACTGAATGGCTCCACCTGATGACTTAATTGACATTTGCAGAGCATTCCACTCCACAGCAGAATGCACATTGTTTTTCAGAACTAATATACACACTGGATGTGGTGGCACACACCTTTAATGCCAGCACTCAGGAGGCAGATCTCTGAGTTCAAGGCCAGCCTGATCTACAGAGCAAGTTCCAAGACAGTCACAGCTACATATAGAAACCCTGTCATAGAAAGAAAAAAGATCTACAAAAAAGATCATGTTCTGAACAGAAAGTCTTGCTAAGCCAAGCACAGTGGCACATGTCTTTAATCCCAGCACGGTGGATCTATGAGTTCAAGGCCAGCCTGGTCTACATAGAAAGTTCCAGGCTAGCCAAGGCTACATAGAGAGACCCTGTCTCAAGTAAAAGCTGGAGGCTTGAGAGATGGCTGTGCAGTTAAGAGCACATACTGGTCTCTTGTAGAAGATCCAAGTTCAATTCCCAATACTCACTTTGGGCCACTCACAACTTTATGTAACTTCAGTTCCAGGTAGATCTGATGCCTGGGGCTGGCGATTGCTCAGTGGTTAAAAGCACTACTGCCCTTGCAGAGGACCCTGGTTCAATTCCCAGCACCCACATCTGTTGGCTTACAGCCTCCTATATATAAATCCAGCTCCCGGGGATCACACACCTCTGCCCTCTAAGTGAATCTGCACCCATGTGGCACACACACACATAATTATTAAAATAAGATATTTTAAGTCTTTTTAAAAAAGTAACTGGGGGCAGCTGGAGAGATGACTCAGCAGTTAATAGCACTGGCTGCTCTTCCAGAGGACCCAGGTTCAATTCCCAGCACCCACATGGCAGCTCACAACTGTCTGTAACTCCAGTTCCTGGGACTCTGACACCTTCACACCAATGCACATAAAAATTTTTATTTTTTAAAAAAATTGACTAGGCATGGTAGTACATACCTATAATCCCAATACTCAGGAGGCAGAGGCAGGCTGATCTCTATGAGTTTGAGGCCAGCCTGGTCTACAGAGTGAGCTCAAGGCCAGGCTGGTCTACATGGTGAGACCATAGTCTCAAATGATGAAGAAGAAGAAGAAGAAGATGATGATAGGAGGCCAGGTGTAGTGATGGACGCCTTCAATTCCAGTATTCAGAAGGCAGAGGAAAGCAAATTGTTGTGAGTTCAAGGCCAGCCCTGGTCTAGAGTGAGACCTTGCCCTAAAATGATGATGATGATAATAATAACATTATTATTATATATAATTATTATTATTATTTCTTAAAATCAACTGAGTAAAGCAGGAAAGGAAACTTCAATCTGATAAAAGGCATCTCTGAAGAAAACCACCACTTCATCATAAAGACGGAACGCTGACTGTTCCTCATGAGAACACGGGAATGAAGCAAGGCTGTCTGCCCTCGTTCCACAGTTACATAGTGGTCATTCCAGTGCAAAGGGGGAAGAAAAGAACAGGAGGTGCCAGACGTGGCAGGAAGAAACCAAGTTGTCTTGATTCACACACATTCTTTTCGATGTCCACTTCCCCCGGGCTCTCTAAGCAATCAGGACTGATGGGTTTTTAATACACCTTTAGGACTTGAGGCGATATTTCTAGAATATTAGCAACAATTGAGCATTGGAAATGCCTCATATGTCACAGACTGCCACTTGGCTTTCTGGCAGAACACTCCTAAGTCAGGTACAGAAGTCCCAAATTGAGTCAACAGCAGACGTTGTCTCCCAGACCCCAGTGCAGCTATGAGCCTTACAGAATTGTAATCCGCCCTTCTGTCCGTACCCAGTCGCAGTTGATGGAAGGATTGAAGTTGTGTGACGATCAGATGTCCAGAAAAATTGCAAAAATTGCAAAGTGATCAAGGAAGGCTCTGTGGCTGGGCAGGAAAGAATCCTGCTCAGGGTCAAACGGAGCTGAAGCTGAAGAAGATGTCTAAAGAAAGCCAGAAGAGTGCGTGGATCAAGGAGGCAGAGCCGGCCTCTGAGTTCCTGTCCATGGTGCTTCTCTCAGAGCCTCGCCACACAGCTGACCTATGACCCCAGGCCACGCTGAAGCACAGATGTGTCTGAGTCCTAGTGCCTAGGACCAGCCATGCAAGGACCACCCCTTCCAACCCTAGGAAGAAGCCACACCACATTCTCATGCTTCTGATCCAATCCTGGGTGCAATTCTTGGCCAAAAAGTAAGGTTAACATTTCCTGCTCCACCCTAGGCTCATGGGAACCCACTTTGCATAATGCATGGACGCCATGACCCCTCACCATCAATGCTTATCACCACCAGAGGAGTAGAGACGAGACAGCCTGGTGCCCCACTTCTAGGGGGTGAAGAGCAGTTTCTGTATTAGAGGACAAAAGCCTCCTGGCTGTCTCCTGGCTCCAAGACGCCCCCAGAGACTCAGCCTCCTAGGACTTCAAGGAGTGATTCAAGTTCACCACACAGTAGTGCGGTGCCAGCACACCCTTGGATCAAGCACTCTGAGTGTTGGCCTTGGTCTGGGTCGGTGACAGGTGATCAAGAAGAGCTCAGGAAGCCGCAGAGGCGAAGAAGAATGGTGTGGGGGAAGGTTCTACAGGGGTGCCATGGGCTCCTGTGAAGCGTAGAACAGCAGAAAATAAAGGTGATTCTTCAGCCTGAATTCAAGTCCTTGACTTAGCAACCACCAGCTATGGGAAGCCTAGGCAGTGAGCACCCTCTAATGCTCTCTGTGGAGCCGAATTAGAGGAATCTGTGGAATACTGTGGGCACCCATGCTTGTAGAGGCAGGTGACAGATCCAAGAGTTGGGACGGGGCCAAGATGGCCAGTGGAGGGTGGTAGACACTGAAGACAGGACCACTGAGCCTGTAATGAGGGGAAGATGGGAGAGATAATGTCGGGGTGGGGGGAGGGAGGGCTGGAGTGGGGGGGCAGAAGAAATTTGCACCAGCTCATGGACTGTCCCTCACCCTGATGCTCCCTGTCCTTTCTTTTTTCTCCTGGCCAGGTATCAGTGCATTCCCATGCTGTGGCAAGAATTCTGTGGACATTGTGGAAAGAACGTGAGGACCAGTCCCCATCAGCACAGGGACTTCCCCCAAAATCCCAGGCTCTCAGCCTTTCCCCCAACACCACACACTCCCACCCAACTAGGATCTCCCCTTCTTTAGCTCCTTTCCAGATCTCCTCAGGAGCAGTGTCCAGGCCCAAGGCTGGGGTTGCCTCCAACCCCGGCAGAGGGCTAGGGTGGAGCACATGGAGGCATGGCTGCCTTGTTGGAGGCAGACAGATCTGTCCAAGGTAGGGAAAGACAGGTGCCTGAGGAGGGAACAGGAGTTGAAGGTTGTGGTGCAGGTAGGAACAGAGGCTGAGAAGAAGTAAAGGGGCCCTACATTCCCCCCCACGCCCCCGTATCCATGGCTTCTCAAATCTACCCACTGGGAATGGGGCAGGTGAGTAATGGGCCTCGCTCTGGGCTTCCCCTGTGTAGGGGACCATTTTCTGAGCATCATGGTTTACCTGTAGCACTTAATAAAAATGAATATTCCCAGCAGGATGGTGGTGGCACACACCTTTAATCCCAGCACTTGGATTTAATCCCACAGGATTTAATCTCTGTGAGTTTGAGGCCAACCTGGTCTACATAGTGAGTTTCAGGACAGTCAAGGCTACACAGAGACACCCTGTCTCAAGATAACCCCCACCAAAAAGAGAATGAAGACTCCCAGGCCCCTCCTCCAACCAAATGGAGTTGAAGAGTGGATTGGCAAGCTCTCCAGAGTTTCTGAAGCTTGGAGAGTCTTAATAACAGCAGCTTAGAGGATAAAGTGTTTAGTGCACTAATATGAGGGCCTGAGTTTAGATATCCCTCAACCAGGTAAAAAGCTGGGATGACATGCTAACACCATCATCCCAGAGCTGGGAGGTGGAAGAGGGAAGATCCCAGGGTCTCAACTGGCCAGCCACTGTAGCAAATCAGTGAGCTCCATGTTCAGAGAGAGACCCCATCTCAAAACAATGAGGTGGATAGTAACTAAGGTAGACACGTAAGATCAACCTACCCTTCACATTTGTATATGTGTGTGCACGCACACACACACACACACACACACACACACACACACACACACACACACACACACAAACACTCCAGAGTTCCTAATGGAGTAGCAGGGACATCGGGGAGTAGAGCTGGGGTCTTCTTGCCCACCCTTGTCCAAGGCCAGAGCTTTGAAGGCCCTAGAGATCTCTACCACTGTGATCCTGCATATGGATCTTTGTTACCCATTTTGATTCCTTATGCCTCAGGAATGACCACCATCAGCAGCCCCACACCCCTAAAGAAAAGGAGGATGACGAAACAGAGGTGAGAGTATCATCAACACTTTATGCACAGGTAGCAGGCAAGAGGGCAGGGCAGTTCCGCTTGGCAAGTCTAGGACTGTAGTACCCGGCCACACACACACACCTTCACCACCTGCCTGCACTTCCTGCCCTGTCCCAAGCAGTTCTCTGACAAGAAGCAAGTGGAGATAAGGGGTGGGGAGTGTGCCCACAGAGGAGCAGGACAGGGACTTGGTGTGGCAGAGAAGTCCTGGGGGGAAGGGAGGGGTCTAGCTCCTGTTGCCTCAGCTTTCAGTTGGACCCTTTCAGCTGGAAGCACAATTGCCCAAGAAGGAGCCCCTACCCGTAGTGCTCCCAGATCCAGGCCCAGTACCACAGCTGGAGGAGATGGGACCAGTGGTACACTCTAAACCCACACCCGAGCCTGAAGAAGACTACTTCACTGAAAGCCTGGAGCAGCAGGGCTACAGGATCGAATCTCTCAGGCCCTATGAGGAAGATCGGCAATCCAGAACCTGGAGCTTCAATGCAAACTCAAGCAACAGGGAAGAGGAGCAGGTGTCCACCACCCAGTTCCGCTCCATCCGCGTGCAGACCTCCAAACACCTCTTCTGGGCTAACAAGCTCATCCAGGCATCAGAGCACAGCCTCCAGCAGGCCTTAGAAAAACATCGCAAGAGCCCCCGGGAAAGGAAGTCTGTCTGCATCTCCCAGGTTCTCACAGACTGCGCCCCGCGACCATCAAGCCCCTGTCTATCGTGCACCAGCCTGCCCACAACCATTGGCCTGGCAGATCTGATCAACTTTGCGTCCTCCCTGGCTGTAGCCTCCTCCAGCCACAAGGAAGTGCCTAATTTAGAAAATATGATCAAAGCTACATCCGAGAAGTTGCAAGAGACACCTATAGACCTTTGCCAGCCAGTCCAGTCCATCAAGTTTGCCCAGGCTACCCAGATCACCCAGATAACCTCCGAGAAGCAAGAGAAGTCATTTGAAGATATGACAACTCAGAAATCTTGGACTCCAGAAACCAGTAACGTAGCTTGCTCTTACCTAGATTTTAGCAAGATGGGACTCAAGAATGCCACCATCCAAGGGGAAGTGAAGTTTGTCCAGGCACCAACCAAGTCCTCCCAGCTTCAGGAAGACAACGAGTGAGTGGTGTTGCCCTGCAGGCCTTCTGGAGCCTCACTAGCATGTGGGGATGGGCTCAGTTCTCACATAGCCGGTGGGGTGTGAAACAGTGGAGTGGAGGGGGGAGGGGCCGAGGCAGGGGGCACAGGGCAAGCTTAGTTGAGGGCCCAACCTCAATGACCTCACAAAGGCTGCTAGGAACAAGATTCCGGTGACCTGAGGTGCAGCAGCAAAGCCAGGGCCAGAGGAGGCCTGGGGACCATGGAGGGTGAGCTCTCCAGGGCTAGGACAGAAACCTGGGTTTAAAATGGGCAGGGCCATGTCGCATCAGGAAGCAGATGGGTTTCATGTTGTCTGCCTCCTGGGAGCATGATGGTTACCTTCCTAGGGCACAGGACATTTCCGTGAGTGAGCATAAGGGAACTGGGCTTCAGCGCTCTTGGCCTCTGATGACATATAGACACAGAACAGGATGCCAGCTGCCCACAGGTGCAGTGGGAGACCCCCCCGCGAGACCCTAATGCCATAATGACACTGTCTCTTTTGTGTTGCAGCTCGGTGCCGGGAACCAAGAAAGGGAATCCATTATTGCTGAAAATCCATTTTAAGTTGTCATCCCCCTTACCAAAAAAGAAATGACTAGACAAAACATTAAAGCCTCCAGTGCTGGCCCCGGTGAAGACTTTTTTTTAAGGAGCTGGGATCGAACCCAGGGCCCCGAGCATATTTCGGTCAGCGTTTTACTACTGGGCTATATCCTCAGCCCTTGGATTTTTGAGATAGCATCTCATTATGTAGCCCAGACTGGCCTCGAACCCTCGAGCTGCCTACCTCGGCCTCTTGAGTGATGACCTTACAAGTACGCGCCATCCTGCTTGGGCTCTGGCTCAGATTTTAGAGGACCAATGTCTCCTCACCACTGAACACACCTGGCTGCTATATTCTGGAAGCAATTTTTTAGGGATGACACTGACATTTTTTAGTTTCCCTTGAGTCCACCGGTCCCCTGAGAGCTCTGGCCAGCTGTCTAGGGTTTGTTTATTCCCCAAAGTGGTTCCATTTTACTCCCACCTACCAGACCACCTCAAAGCTCCACCACCACCCCACCCCCCACCCCCCCACCCCTCCACCCCCACCACCCCCCCACTCCCCCACCCCCCCACCACCCCCACCCCCACCCCACCCCCGGCTTCAGCTTCTTAGGCCTAAATCCAGGGACGTAGAGGCATGAGGATGTGGGAGATGGGGCCTCCCTGGAGGTGGGGCTGACCAGTAAAGAGAAAGTAAATCCAAAGGGAATCCTTCCTGTAGCCAGCGGGGAGGCCTGGGGAGGACATTGTTTGAAGGTTTTGAAGGAGGGAAGAACTGAGGTTGATAGACCGATCTTTTAGAAGGCCACAGCCTCAAGCCAGAAATAACTCCCAATGTAGGGAGACCCCATGTGTGACGACCTACCCAACATGGCAACCCAGAGGAATCCCCACACATCACCAGCCTGAAACTGGCATAAGACGGCATGTCCAAAGACAGGAAAAACTGCCCCCAAGTGCAGGGGACACACATGCCCAGGAGCAGCCCCAAGGGTCAAATATGCACCTCTAGAGGCACACAACCACTATGTCTGGGGTCAGGCCTCAACGGCCCAGAAGAAAGGCAGTAAGAGATTTACTTTCTCTTTACTGGTCAGCCCCACCTCTAGGGAGGCCCCATCTCCCACATCCTCATGCCTCTAAGTCCCTGCTTTTGGCCAAGGTCAGGAGGCTGTGAAAAGTAGGGAAGTGAACTGGAGCCTAGAGAAAGAGAAGGGGCTGGCTTGGTCCACAGGCAGCTGTGTGTATGAGATAGAGGGGGTGGGGGGATGGCATCCCACTCTGTGTAGCCCAAGCTAGTTTCAAACTTGTGGCAATCTCTCTACCTCGGCCTCCTGAGTGCTGGGATTACAATCACTAACATTACTGTTAACAAACTGGTTTTGGGTTTTTTTTTTTTTTTTTTTTTTGTAAGTCGGGGTTTCTTTGTTACCCTGGCTGGACTGCCTCAGATTCCCGGTGATCCTCCTGCCTTTACCTCCGGAGTGCTGGGATTACAGGTATAGGCTTACACTGTCACATCAGCTTTTGTTGTTAGCCTTGTCGTTGTTGTTGAGACAGGGTCTCATTACGCAGTCCTGACTGCCTCTTGCCTGCCTCCTGGGTGCGAGGATTAAAGGCAGGCGCCACCACATGGCTTCTTTTTTTTCTTTTGAGACGGGGTACGGCTGTGTAACTCAGGCTGGCTTTGAACTCGCAAAACTGCCTGCCTTAGTCTTCAGAGTTCTAAGAGGAGCGTGCTGCCATGCCTAGGCCTGGTCAGGCTCCCTGCCAAGGGAGAAGCCCATCAGGACCCTAGGAGGAGGCTGAGTGGGGCGCACCTAGGGACAGGGAAGAGGGAAAGCAGGCCAGCAGGGAAAGGAGCAGGAATCTAGGATGAGGACAAAGAGAAGTCGCAGAGGTGGGTGTCTGGCTCGAGTGTCATCCGGCTCTTGGGTTTGTCTTTTTAGAGTTTATTGTTTTGGTGGGATTTTTAAAAGTTCTATTTTTTTTAGCCAGAGGTGGGAGCATACACCTATCATCCCAGCACTTGGGAGGTGGAGGCAGAAGAATCAGAAGGGAAAAGTCATCCACGCAGTAGATGTGGTGGTCATGCTTTTAATCCCAGCACCCGGGAGGCAGAGGCAGGAGGATCTCTGTGAGTTCAAGGCTAGCCTGGTCTACATAGCAAGTTCCAGACGAGCCAGGGATAATATCGTGAGACTCTGTCTCAAAAACAAAACAACAACAAAAAGTTATCCTCAGCTAAATAGAAAGCTCAAGGTTAGCCCAAGCTATGGTACATAAGATCCTGTCCCCTTCCAAAAAAAAAAAAAAAATTGTTCAAAGTGGCTGTAGGTGCACTCAACGAGGGACAAGCACAGACAGCTCTGTGTTCCTTCTCTGTCCCAGCCCCCACAGCCTGGAACACAGGGACATGCTGAGACAGACACACGGTTACACAGACCCACACTGGCTCACCACCATCACCCAAAGCCCATGGAGACATCAGGGTTCATTCCCTCTTGGTGTACTTTCTGTGACTAGTGTAGGACATGTGTCTCATTGCAGTACCATACAAAATAGTTTGCCTGCCCTAAATGCCCTCTGCCTTCCACCCACTCATCCTCCCCTCCCCTCAACTCCAGGCACCCACTGACTTGTTCTGTTCCCTTTTGCCTTTTCCAGAATGAATTGGCATTGAACCTCATGCAGCCTTTTCAAAAGGGCTTCTTTCCCTGTTTAGCAGTTAACTTCCCTCCGTGTCTTTTCACGGCTCTGACAGCTCATTTCCTCTCAGCGCTCAATAACAGTCCGTTATCTAGATGGACCAGTTTGTTTTCCACCCACCTACCCAAACATGTCTTGGTTGATCCCACGTTTAGGCAGTTAGGAAGTTGCAGTGAGTATCGGCGTGTGGATTTTGTGTTTTAAAATCTTCGGGATAAATGCCAAGGGCCATGGCTGCTGCCTAATGCATGTTGTGAGGTGTGTTCACGTGGCTCAGCTATTAAAGGCTGGGCTCACAACCAAAACATCAACACGTGTTCAGATTTGTAAGAAACAGCCGAAGTGGCTTCTTTCTAGGTTTGCATCGCTTTGCAGCCCCAGCACGATGCTCCTTGTCTTCACTGTTTGGCAAGCAGTGTCGGTGTTTCAAATCCTGGTGCTCTCATAAACCAATAGTGCTGCCTCATTTTACTGTTCAGGCCGCCGGTGATCTGTGATGCTGAAGATCTTACACATTTACTTGCATGTGTAGATCTTTGATTCGCTATGGTGTCTGCTCACATCTTTTGCCCATTTTAATTGGGTGATTCATTTTCTCACTGTTGAGCTTTAAAGGTTATTTGTATATTTTGTGCATAACAGTCCTTTTCAAATGTGCATCTCCCAGTCTATAATTGCTTTCTGATTGTCTTCACACCGTTGGTAGAATCAAAGGTTTGGGGGGGGGGGTTTGTTTATTTTGAGACAGGGCCTCTCTGCATAGCCCTGACTGTCCTGGGACTTGCTGTGTAAACCAAGGTGGCCTCAAACTCACAGGGATCTAGATCCCTCTAGAGCACTGGGATTAAAGGCATCCACCACCACGCCTACTTAATTTAAATAGTTTATTAAGTTAAGTTATTATTTTATTAAGTTAAGATGCCGTAGAAAAGTGATGGTCCTTCAATAAATGTTTAATTTTTAAAAATCATCAGAATTTGTATGGGCCTCTCCCTGCTGTGGAAGGCTCTTAATTATTGCTTTGATTTCTTTAGTAGATACAGGTCTATTCATATTATTTCTCCACATGTAAGTTTTGGCCGCTTCTGCTTTTCAAGAAATTGGTCTACTTCATTAAAGTTATCAAACTTATAGGCATAGGCATTTATAATATTCCTTTATTATGCTTTGAGTATCCGTGAGATCTGTAGTGATGTCCCTTTCACAATGCTATTACTCTTGCCCTCCGACTTATTTGTATTTATGTAGTGGTGTGTGTGTGTGTGTGTGTGTGTGTGTGTGTGTGTGTGTGTGTGTGTCTGTGTCTGTGTGTGCGCATGGATGTCAGGACAATTTGATGGGTCCGGTTCTTGTCTTCCATGTGCGTCCTGGGGACCTTCGAACTCCGGTCGTCAGACTTGTCAGCAGGTGCCTTTACTCACTGAGCCATCTCACCAGTCCCGTCTACTTTATTACTCCTTCAAAGAAGACGATTTTGGCATTTATTATTTCCACTATTGATTTTTTTTCTGCTTTCAACCTTAATGCTTGCTCATGTTTTTATCATGATTCTACCTACCTGAGATGTCATTTGCTCTTCTGTCTCTAGTTTCTTGGAGCAGAAACTCCAATTCTTGGTTTTAGGTATTTTCTAAAACACGCACCTAACACTACAAATGTCTCTGCAAGCAGTTTTTGTTACATCTTACTATTTGAAATAAGTTGTATTTTTATTTTTGTTTAGTTTGAAGTTTCTTCTTTGATCCATGCTTTGTTTGTTTGTTTGTTTGTTTGTTTGTTTGTAGACAGGTTCTCATACAGCCCAGGCTGGTTTCAAATTCACTATAGAGCTGAGGATGACCTTGAACCCCCAATCCTGCTGTATTTTTCCCCAAGTGCTGAAATCATTGACATGCACCACCATGCCTGGTGCTGTCTTGTCATAATAATGTTCTTTCTCTCCCCCTCCTCCTTTTGACAAGGTCTTATTATATAGCTCCAGCTAAACTTGAACTCACAATCCTCTTGCCCCAGCCTCCAGAGTTCTGGAATTATGGGTGTACATCACTATACCTGGCCCTATATGTTGTTTACAGGCGAATAATTTAATCTTCAAGTATTTAGAGATCTTCCAACTCTCTGCTACTGGTTTCTAGTTTCATTCACTAGTGTTCTGAGAGCAGATATGGTTTGATTTGTATTATTTTTAAATATTAAGGTCTCATGGAATGTCTTAAAATGTGGTTAGTGGGTTTATATTGGACAGGACTCCATGTTCCCCGCACCTGGCTTTGGGATTCTGTGGCCTGCTTTTCCCTGAGGGCCTCTGCCACCTTGATTCAGCATCCAGAGTGTAATCACAAATCTAGAACCCTGAAGGTAGAGACTTGGGGAGACTAGAGCAGCAGTCCCCACAGGAAGTCAGCCTGTGAGCGGGGGAAGGTTGGCAGTTCTCCTGCCAAAAGATGAAAGTCACCACAAAAGTAGCCTGGGGGCAGCCTCAGAGTCTGTGACTCTGCCTTTCAGGCAGCAGAGGCCAGAAGACCAAGAGACCCTCATCGACACTGAGAAGGTATGAGCGACTGGGCCGAAGGAGGGTTTTGTTTTGTTTTGTTTTTTACTTGAGTTGGGGGTTCACACCCTGTGCCTGCTACAGAAGCCCCTTTCTATAGACTGTGGATTCAGCCTGGCCTGAGGATCCCGGGAGGAGGAGGTGGACCTGCTCACCCACAGTCCTTGTCCCCTAGGTCCCCTGGGGTCTATGCCCTCCAGTTGACCGGGCTGTCCTGCCTTTTCCCTGTCTCCAAGGCCTCCACAGAAGCCTCGGAGTCTCCTCACACGAGATACACGAGAGGAACCGGCTGGCAGGGTGCAGAAAGGGCGGCTGCAGCTGCAGACTGGCCAGATGCCTCAGTCAGAGCTAGCAGCGGCCATGGCCACAAAGGAGGAGCAGACCATACTGAGGGCAAGAGAATTTAAGGACCCTGAAGCTACCCATCCATATTGGCCAGGCCCAGATACCAAGTCTCAGAGGTGAGGATAGGAAATGGAGACCAGGTTTGGGGTGCTGGTTTGGGGGCAAGGGCTGCCTGGCCTTGGAGTCTCTTTGCAACAGGTACTACATGTCCAAATTCTTTCACTGGAACAGTTCGGCCGATGATAGCATGGTACCCTTGACACCCCGGCAGCTGGCAGGTAAGGACCCTAGGTCCGGAAGTAGAGAGGAAACTATGGGGGATGCTCAGGACAGAATTACGAGGAGTTACCTGCCCGAGGTTAGCATATTTATGACCCTTGTGACCCTCCCTCCACGCCAGTCTAATTTTTTCTTCTCTACAGCCCAGGGGCTCACTGATGTACCCCCAGAAGTGTGTGTGTGTGTACCTGTCTGTGTAGCTGTGACTCTGTGTGTCTGTGTCTCTGTTTATCTTTGTGTCTATGTCTGTGAAGGGAATAGGAAAAATAAAACTGAATGTATTGGTGGATGGTTGGATAGTGGTATCTGAATGGATGGGACAGGATTTAAAAAAGAGGAGGGGGGGGAATGGACAGAAAAATAAATTTTCCCAGGATCTGGCCTGAGAGATGGGAAGTAAGGATAGAAGGTGCTCCCCAAATGTCACACCTGATGTTGACAGGGACCTATCAAAGAAGAATCACTTTCTTTTTTTTTTAAAGATTTAGCTATTTATTATAAGCGCCAGAGATGGTTGAGAGCCACCATGTGGTTGCTGGGAGTTGAACTCAGGACCTCTGGAAGAACAGTCAGTGCTCTTAACCACTGAGCCATCTCTCCAGCCCCGAAGAATCACTTTCTACATCAGTAATCCGAGTGCCTGATTATATGTCACACGCCAATGAGGCCCCCAAACAGCCACAGAGCTGGACTTGGCATGTGACCTTGGATGTGAATTTTAAAAATTGGTTTTTAATTTTAGTTGTGGGTGTGTGTGTGCAGTGCCCACAGAAGCCAGGGGCCCCAGATCCCCTGGGGCTGGAGTTAGACAGTTGTAAGTCACCCACCATGTAACTCAGGCTCTCTGCAAGAGCAGTGTGTGCGCTTAACCACTAAGCCAAATCTCTAGTCCTGCGTGTGAGTTTTTAAAATACTTTTATACTTATGTGTGTGTGCGCGCGTGCGCGCGCGCGCACACACACACACACACACACACACACACACACACACACACACATGAGCACCGTGGCACTCGTGGAGGACAGAGGACAACTTATGGGAATCAGTTTTCTTTATCACGTGGGTCCTGCAGATCAAACTCAGGTCACCAGGGTTGGCAGCAAGCGCCCTGGCTTGTCATGTCTAGAGCCATCTAGACGTGAACTGCAAACGCTTTTTGTAAGAATATGTCCAAACACAAGATTTGGGCGTAAGGGTGGAACAGCTCACGAGCCAACACACAGCGCCCACTGTGTCGCTGATGGCCGGTGTGCTGAAGGTTACCACAGGTGTGTCCAAACCCGGTCCCACCCAACTGGAGTGGAGAGGCAAAGCCTCAAGGCCACCACCACGTGTCCTTCGCACCTTGTTGACAGTCGCCTCTCTCCACCCTCAGCCTTCCAGGATATCTTCAAACTGTTCAGCTGCAGCCCCACGGGCACCGTGGACATGCATAGCATGAAGGTTGCCCTGCGCAATGTGGGTATCCAGCTGGGCCCACAGGAGATGTGTGAGGCTCTTCGGCTGGCCGACTTAGATGGTGGGTTTCCCATCTCTTTGTGTTCTCCCCACCTCCAGGCAATCTCCTAATCAATGCTACCCATACCTACCATATCCTTGGCCTCCGTCCTGGTTTTTTTTTTTTTTTTAAAGTTCCCTCTTCCAGGAAGCACCCTATCTCCCTGCCTTTGTACATGGCTACTGAGTCAATCCTCATCCCCCAGGCAAGAGCTGTTTCTCTCCGCACTCACACTAGCACCCCCTGGCTTCTACAGAAGTATGTTAATAAGTCATGTTAGTACTTTATAGTGAAATCGATTTTAAAGAGATAAATGGTGTAGGGAAGGGTGATGATGTTGGAGAAAATCCCAAGTAATTCTCAATGTATATTTAAACCCCTAACATATCTACAGGACAAAC